AACATTACACCACTGAGCCTTTCATCGTTATGACAAAAACCTTAGGAAATGGTGCCTGTGTGTCTTGATTTGCTCTTAGCTTCTCATTAAGGAGAATGTCAATCAAAATAAGAGGACCCGTGACCTCTACATCTAGCCTCTCTTCCTCAGCAATGATTTCTTTATCAGATGAATTAACGTCATTTTCTTTCTTTTTCTTAACAAAATCAACAGGACGTTGACACGCTCTTCTACAGTTCTTTCCAAATCACCCTGGAGAGTCAGAACTTTCACATGCTCATTGATTTCATTCCTTCTGCACCTCTGAGCTTCCTCGGTTGTGTCCTCCACCCAAGCCTCCTCCCCATCTTCTTCCACAGCATGTGGAGGAGGATGGGTTTCATTCGCTGGTGGAGCTGGGAGACCTGTGGATTTTGATTTGAGTGATCTGCATGGCGACAAAGAAGGGTTAGTGTTTTCTAGTTCGGAAATGCATCGCCGTAAATAAAGCCGTGTAAATAGACTTCAAAGTATGTGTGTGTGTGTGTGTGGGGGGGATAATTGAGTAAATTATATGTTACTATGCCATGGAATTACTACACACATTAAAAACATGGAAAAGGATCATCTAGTGCCATAGGAAAACACTCTCAATATATTAGGCAAACAACGAGAGCAAACAACAATTAGAAAATCCTTAAGCCATATAAAGGCGAGCAATCAAAGCTAATGATTAAGTAACTGCCAATCAGCTAGGAACTGGAACGAAAGGAGCTGTAAGTGCTTGTAAGAAAGGCATCATCGATTCCTTTCCTTTTTTCAGACATTCTCTGCCTCTTTGGGAGGACACTGCCTGATTTAGCTTTCTTCTGTTCTCGCAGCACACTCCTGGAGAGAATCCACTTGCAGAGAGAGAAAAGGTCTCTATGAGCTCACTGTTTTAGAGGGTGGAGCCCACAGTTTGGCGACTTCCTTGCTCTCAGGCCTGTGGGGAGACAGCTGGGTGAAAGGTGGCCAAAGAGAAAGAGAGCAAAAGGGAGACAGGGGTCTCAACATCTATTTCTTTTTAAGGTTTATTTATTCATTTATTATGCATACAATGTGCTGCTGGCATGTATGCCCACACACCAGAAGAGGGCACCAAATCTCTTTACAGATGGTTGTGAGCCACCATGTGGTTGCTGGGAATTGAACTCAGGTCCTCTGGAAGAGCAGACAGTGCTCTTAACCTCTGAGCCATCTCTCCAGCCCCTCAACATCTCTCCAGCCCTCTCCCTGGGCTTTTCCTCTTAGAGGACACACTGGAAGCCCCAGGACTGCTCTACTCAGGAAGGCTAGAGCAGTTGGGTTTGCTTGCTTGCTTCTATTCTTTTTCCTTTCTTTCTTCTTCTGCTGCCTCTTGCCCCTATCCTCAGCAGTGGTGGAGACAGAACCCAGGGCTTAGTGCAGGCCAGGTGCCGAATACTGGCTGTGTGCTGAGTAGTGCACCCAGCCCCTGCGTTTACAGACTGGGAGCGAAAACCACGTGGTGTCTCCGTGAGATAGGCGGGAGGGGGCTGCTTTTTCACCTGGGCCTCAGCTTCACGGTGACTATTGCTGCAACTGACCTGAGGTGCATGGGCTCCCAGATGTAAGCCATTGCAAACCAGCACATGAGGGGCTGGAAAGATCGCTCAGTGGTAAGGGTGCGGGCTGTTTTCCCAGATGGACCTGGGTTCAATCCTCAGCACCCACAAGGCAGTTCACAGCTGCCTGTAACTCCAGTTCAAGGGAATCTGACACCTCCACATGTGCATACATGCAGGCAAAATAACAGTGTACATTGAAATAAAAACAAATCATTAAAATAAGTAAGTAGAACTTACCCAAGCCAAAAACAAAACCTCAAAGTCAACCAGGAATTGATCTTTTCCTGGAGTATTGCGGGTGTTTTTACAAACTCAGTGAGCCTGGACTGCCGTGGTGGTGGTGGTGGTGGTGGTGGTGGTGGGGAGGAGGAGGAGGAGGAGGAGGAGGAGGAGGAGGAGGAGGAGGAGGAGGAGGAGGAGGAGTAAGAGGCTCTTCCGAGCATTTTTGTTTCTCACCAGGCGACCAGATCTTTATCGCAGCTCGCAGTGCTGGCTCACACCAGAGATCCTGTTTTCTGATAGAAAGAAAAATAGTCTCAGTGTGTTCTGAATGAACTTCATGTGGTCATGCTCTACAAACTGGGGGAGGAGGAAGCAGCTGGCCTGGCTGGAAGGGACTTTGTTTCTTTCCAGGTAATGTAAGAATGCGGATGACAGCTTCAGGATGAAAAAGAGGTTCCACCCAGAAGTGAGCCAATAAGGCCTGTGAAGTTAAAAGCAAGGCAAACGAATTACGAAAATCAAGGTAGCAGCAGCGATGGCGAGCTGACATTACTGTCCGCACACACTGGGCAGGCTGGGCTGAACTTGGCCGCTATCAGCAGCAGAATAGCTCATATCCTGTGCGCTGAGTGTAAACGCCGTCTAATCTCTCCAGTTAAATAGCAATAAGACGAGGAGCCGAGCCAGGTAATTAAAAGTTCACCCAGGACCTCTATTTAACGTATGATACCTGGCAAGGAAATTACAAGCCGCTTCATGATTAACTTGCTGTGGCCACAGTAACCTGGCTACCCATTCAAGGGACATGGGAAAGCCTCAGAAGCCACTAGGAACGTAGCCACCATGTGCAGTGAAGGGACAGACTGGAGAACCGCAAAGAGAACAGCCTATTCTGTCTCTGGGGATAGGTGGGGGCTGATGATGAAATGCCTCTTCGTCTCCCGAGGGCTGTTGCTGAATCTGCCATTGGAAGAACGCCAATTACAGAAAGCCTCAAGAAGGCAATTAAAATATGTGCAGGATAAAGATGCTACTGAGAAGCTTGCCAGACTTGTCCCGAGACCTCCCCTGCACTAGGCCAGACATCATGGAGGCTTAACACGTGACCCACCCACCCCTTGTGTTCTCTGAACACTGCAGGTGTTGCACCGCAGGCCTTAGCTTTTTATCCAGTTCAGCCTCAAAATAGCTCTCAACAAAGTAGACTTTTGCAGCAGAGATTGACAGCTGCTTGCCAAGATTTCACATTCCCTTTCTGGCCTCACAGACAGACTGCCTTTTCCAGAAGTGCTTATGATGAGCTGCCATCGAAGTGTTAATGAGAATGAAATGAGACCGAGGGCTGATAATAACAGCAATAAAAACAGAGAGTAAGAAACGGGACAACCTTGACGATGTCCTAGCAAAGCGCCCACAGACAGAGGGCTCAGATCTGCGCGGTTTTGTTTCATTTCACGTGAAAACTGATCTTCACTGTCAACCCAACTGGATAATTAGAGCCACCCAGGAAGCAAACCTCAAGATGCTTCTCTGAAAAACAAAACAAAACAACAACAACAACAACAACAAAAAAGATGCTTCTCTGAGGGTGTTTCTGAGGCTTAAGCGGCATGGGGAGACCTACCCTGTGGGCAGGGCCATCCCTTGGGCTTGAGTCTTGAAGTGAATTGGAGAAAGGGAGCAGATCACGAGCTTTCGTTTCTCTCTGCTTCCTGCCTGGGGATGCAACATGTGCGCACGGCAAGGTAGCCATGACTTCCCCCGCCATCATGGATTGTACCCTGGACTTCAGAGCACGAGCTCCAGGAAACCCTTCCTGCCTTTCCTCGGTTGCTAAGTATTTGTCAGTGTATCTGTAATGCATTCAGAGAGGAACCAGGGAGGCGCCAAGGTAGGACAGTGCAGGGTCTGAGGTCTTTGATTGCTGAAGTTCTTCATTTGCTGAGAATGCCTGGCATTTAAGGACTGCAGCCTCATCCAAACACTGTAAAGCCCCTTTTGGAAATGTAATTCTCACCCCCATGTGATTCAGACGCTTGGCTTAACATGCACTAGGAAAACTGAAGCAGTCTGGAAATGGGGAGAGACTATGAGCACTCAAAGCCGACCCTCAGTGATCTTCCCAAACAGCCCCTACCACGTCCTGACCTAGCATTCAAATACCCAAGCCTGCGCTCTGGGAGTGGGGACATTGTTATCCAAACAACTACAGTCTCTGAGGCTGTATAAGTTGGCTTTTGCATCCTTTGTAAAGTAGGGGTAAGACTTTATCCTTTCCCACGTGGGTAGTTAATTGTCCTGTGGTCATTTGCTGGAAAAACTTTCCTTTGTCCTGTGTAACTGGCTTGTCAAGGCTTTGTAAAGTCATGATGCCAGACGAGAGGTTTTTGGAGGTTCCATTTATTCCGTTAATTTATCCTGCTATCTTTGTGTTTTCATAAGCGGCTAGTAGCCCTTAGTTCAAAGTTGCTGTGGACTTTTAACAGTGACCATTTGGAGCTATTTCTCGTCTAAATTTTAGGCACCCCATCATAGTTCACCTGCTCCATTATTTGGAACTTCTTCCATTTCTGTTCCCCTCCACCCCCCAGAATGCAACTGACAGTTCCTGAGTTGTGTTTACTACCAAAGCTAAAAGCAGGTAATGAGGGCAGGTGCGTGGCGTGGAGTTACCTTGATCTGAGGAGGATGGAGGTTTACACTGCTTCCTGCTTGGGAGTGGCTTTCTAACTCTCTTTTTAGACTCTCTTTTTAGCTGCAACATCCGGGGAATCTAACCCGCTTACCAACAAAGCGGAAGATAATCTTGAACCCACGATTCTCTGAACTCCATCTCCTAAATGCTGGGGTTTCAGGTCTAAATCACTACGCCCTGTCTATAAGGCGAGGAGGATAAGTTCAAGGTTTGGTGTACGTAAGGCAACTACTTTACCAATCGCTCTGCATCCACAGACGCCAGTGGCATCACCGATCTGGGTTGTTCCCTTCCTCCGAGAATCCGGCAACTGCTCCATACTCCAGACATTCTCTCTTGGGATGGGGGTGGGATAGGGACTGGCAGATTTGGTTTGGTCTGGACAGCGGGTTTGGAGCGCACAGGTTGCACTGGGGTGGCGCGTCCCTAGCAGCGCTGAAAATACAGGTGGCGTCGGGCGGGGCGGCGCACAGGTGTGCCAGGGAGGAGGCGCCGCACCCTGCTTGGGCTCCTGTGGCCGCCTCAGACCCGCGTGCCACTCGGGGACACCGTGCAGGCAGGGCGGACCCCGCAGGGAGCGCGGAGCGCTCGGAGGGACGGTCCTCAAGGCTTTCCAAGTGTCCGCAGCGATGCCAGACCTGTGGAGAGCAATCGCTGGGGAGACCCTTCTGGGTAAGTCAAGGCCGTCCTGGGGCAGGCTGACTGGGCTTGTTCCCCGCCGGGGCGACAGAACCCACAGAAGAGGCCGGCGCCGGGAATGGAGATGCTTATCGCGCTCTGGGTGGAAGCGAGGGAGTTCAGATCCAGATGGAGGTTCCCAGGCTGGGGTTCCGCAGCTCCCACGCCGCCCTGGCGTTGCATGGAGAATTCTCTAAGTTGATCTCGTGCAGCTCCGGATCGTCACCTTTAAGTTTCCCTCAATACAGTTTAGTACTGGACTTAGCTTTCCCAAGGAAAGGGTTCCCGGGGGATGTAGGTGAGCAACCGGGGTAACTGCCGTCTCTAGCCCTGGCCCCCTGCTCAAGTGATCTTGGTAGCTGCGAGTATACTACTGTGTTTATAAAAGAAAAAAAAAAGTGTCTGTTTCTAGTCTCCCGGGCTCACTTAGCAGTTTTGCACGATGTACTGAGGATTTAGTGTCCTGGCTTGGTGGGAGATGGATACTTAAACCCCTGAGCTCTCAGGGAATCTTTTGGTACATGGCAAGCAAGGTCTTGCAGTTCATTTTGAGCAAGCATACGTCTGGCCTGGGGAGGGCGCTCTCCTGAGAGCGAGAGTTTCAGGGAGCAGCTTGCTCTCAGAAGAGGCTGAAACTCATTTTTCTGACCACTCCCCCCCCCCCCCCCCCCGTGCCTTGTAAATTGGGAGGTGTGAAGTGACTCACACTCGGTTTCTCAGAAAGCTACACTAAGTTCCTCCAGGAGGCTTGGTCTTATTCTGAGAACTGTGAGGTGGGATGATTCCTGCAGTTTAACAACCCGAGGCTGAGAAGGGACGGGAGAAAGTGAAGGGCTCTGGTTAACAGTTCTCGGAGGAGGCATGATCTTAGCGCCCGGTGACATTTCCTACACAGGCTCGCCGGACAATCACCGGACTTTCCGGTTCTCAAGAGTTTCTCTTGTTTTGTTTTGCACCAATTGTTTCGGCTTTGGTAAGAGAGAGTATAAGGTGTATCTATTCACCCATAGGACATGGGTTGTGTGAGGAACAAGACATCTGGTTAAAACCCAGCTCAAGCTGGACATGGTGGCACGCCTTTAATTCCAGCACTTGAGAGGCAGGCTCTGTGAGTTCAAGGCCAGAGTGGTCTATAAAGCACGTTCCAGGACAGCTAGGGTTGTTTGTTATACAGAGAAACCCTGTGTCATAAAACCAAAAAAACCAACCAACTAACCAACCAAACAAAAAACAGTTCATCTTGGTACATGGCAAGCACCACGGTTTTAATTATTGCCTAAGATCACAGCCTGTGCCCACAGAGGTGCCTTTGGCTTCAGATGTGTTCCACTCCCCAGGCCTGCCCAGCAAGGTCTGGTTTAGGATGGTCTACTCACAAAAAGAGGTCTATTGCCTAATGACGGGCCTTTAGGAGTGTGGTTCGAATAGGTGCAAGGAATACTCCTTCTTTAGCTTTTCGTATGTATGGATCAAATTAGGAGAGAGAATTTTATCAACCTGAGCCCTGACAGGAAGCCAGTTTCCTATCAGATGGTCCAGCCTATGACATCTTACTGAAGGGATTATCTACAGGCATAGACATGGTTGCATGACGACATGTTTATGGGAACAAATCGAGAGATGGTGGCGGATTCATAACAGACATGCTCCACCCTGCCTGCTGGGTAGGGGAAGGAGTCTGGGAGCAGCACCTAGCTCAAGCCAGAGGGTGCAGGCTGCCACCAGGGACAACGCCAAAGTCACGTTCTCTCTTAAATATCTTTCTAGGCTACGTCTCTTGGTCTCTCTACCATGGGCTGGGGCCCATGATCTATTACTTTCCCCTGCAAACGCTGGAGCTCACCGGGCTGGAATTGTTTGGTGTCGTGTTTCTCTCCCCGATACTCTTAATAATCCCTCCAATCTGGAGACTCGTTAATAAGAAGTGGACACTCTCTCTGCTGAGGATCGTCACTGTCGGTAAGATCTGAGCGTCTGAAATTCTTCTGTTAGCGAAAAGGAAAATGGTGTAGACCATTCATTGTGTGGGGAATTGCTAACATTTAAAAATCACCTTACTATCCCCTCTGGAAAAAATGTAGTGAAATTGGAAAACTATACCGTGTCAATCCTTTTTTTTTTCCCACCTTAACATCTTTGCGCGACTGGAAAAAACTAAAATTCACTAGAATAAGGAGGGGACAGGTGTGTTGGAGAATAGGCCAACTATGACAAAGCTTAGAAGTGCTGAGAAGGATGACCCAGTGGTATTGCATAAAAAATGAGAATTATGTATCTGAAACATCGCAGCAAGTGACCAAACAGCGGGTGAAAACTATTTGTCGTGCTGCTACTCAAAGGGCTGATTCCCATACAGTTTCAGTAAGCCAAAAATAAAAGACTAAAAAATGAACTAGAAGACCAGCTGAAGACGTATGCAGTCCTTGGAAAGGAAATACCATTCGTTCTTTAAAATACAATAAAATTGGGCCATCAAAACGATTCGGTAGGTAAAGGCACTTGCTGTCGAGCTTGGCGACCTGAGTTCTTCTATCGTGCGTCCCACACAGTGGCAAGAGAATCAATGCCCACAAGTCGTCTTTCTCCTCTACACACGACATTGATATTGTGTGAGCAGGCGTGTGCTCAAACACTCACACACACAATAAATGAATTAGAAATTAAAATAACAAAACATAACATAAACGATGCATACATTTTTATGACTTCACAAATGGATCGGCAGAGAAAACTATTAACACTGTGTTGTAAGGGTGCTCATGCATGGTTGGTGGGTATATAAATCAGCACAGACTTTATGGAGACCAATTTAACAGCACAGACCTTTCCCCCAGCAGCCCCACTACAGGGCTGTGTCCTATAGATACATCCACATATACATGATATGTTGAACATAAGAATCATTGCAGGGATAGTGGTCATGGTAGTACAGAAATGACCCGCATGTCGTCTCTAAGGGGTTGATTAAGTAATCAGTGATTATAAAACTCAGACTGCTATGCAGCCACAGAAAGGGAGTGTCATTACTAGATTTAGAGAGGAAAACTGTGAGCTCAAATCTGCTTGGAGCTGTAGCTGAAAGTTCAGACTTCTTACCCTCCTGTTGTACCCGGTGAGCCTCTCTGGGCTTTCCTTATGGCGTTTGTTGGTGAGCTACACCGGGCAGATCCGTCTGGGAGCTGACATGTCACATTTTCAGGAGCAGTGTTCAGAGTCCCTAGGAAAGCAGACTAGCCCTTTGCTCTCCCTGTGCTTGAAGAAGGCAGAGCACGGTGCAGCCAGTTCTGAGATTCCCCGTGAAGGTGCTGAACTTGCGTTTTTAGAACTAGGGTTCAGAAGCAACGGCAACAAAAACTCACTATGAAATGAATTCATTCTCATTAACCTAGATTATTCTGACTCATTCAGATAGCTAAAATAAAGAAAAAAAAACAGACAATACCAAGTGCTGGCAAAAACATGGAACAATCCAGTTTTCACTTGTTGATGGAAATGCGAGAAACTATAAAGCAGCCTGGCTGCCCTGGGAAGCTGTTTGGCAGGACCTTGGATAGTAAGCCGAGCTCTACACCTTGTCATACACTCTAGAAAAATGCAAGCCTCTGTTCATATAGAAACCTGCATACACAAGTTCATAGCAGCGTTAGTCACGAAAGTCCAGACACAGAAGCAATGCCTAGCACCTGACAAATGGTTAAGCAGAATAGAGTTTCTTTCTGTAATGGAATATTATTTAGCCATAAAAGAATGAAGGGCTAATCTAGGCGGCAATAAAGACACACCTTGAAAGTATTATGCTGAGAGAAAGAGGCCAGCCAGAAAGGGTCACATACTGTAAGATTCTACGGAAGAATCCATGGAGACGGGTTAGTGGTCTCTTGGGGATGGGGGGCGGGGAGTGATGCTGATGCGGAAGGGATTTCTTTTGGGTGTGGAGAGGGTGGTCTGTAACTAGTGGGGATAGGTGACAGTTTGCAAATGTGCCAGAAAGCTACTGAGTGGTGCACTCTAACCTGATGGACCTCATGAGAGATAGGATGAACACAAATGAAGAAGGTGTGTGGGTATCTGTTGTATAAGCCGATGTCGCAGACATATAAGTCTTTTCCAAATTCTTCGCATTTTTCTGCCAGTTGCCTCAAAGTGAAGATCTGATCAATTGTGATCCTGTTCACTCTGAATCCACACTGGGCCTCTGCTAGGATTTCCTCTGTTCTGCCCTTGATCCTTTGCAGCATAACGGAGGAGAAGATCTTGCTGCTATGGCACAACGAACTAATGCCCCTGTAACTTGGGGAGTCCTGCTTGTCCTTCTTGTAGATGAGAATTATGACTGAGTGTTTCCATTCCATGGGAATCACTTTATGTTCCCATTTCTCTGGAGTCTGAGAAGCGCCTCGGCCCCTGAGTCTATTGTAGCCGCCTCCAAGCTCCTCTACCGTGATGTCATCCACTCCTGGGGTTTCCTGCGGTTCGCTCTCTTGATAACTTTCTCTATCTCGCTCCTGTCGATATTTAATATTTAATATTCCCCCATCGTCTTCAGAAAGGCATTTGATAGCATTTGGAGGAAAGACTTTGGGAAACAGGTACCCAGAGAAAAATCCTAAGACTACTAGACAATAATGCCTATAAAGATACCTTTGCATCAGTCAAAGTCTGTGGAGAACTAAGTGATCAGTTTAAGACAGTCGTGGAGTGTTGCAGGGATGTGTCCTCTCAACACTACTCTTTAATATATTCCTGGAACTAACAGAAGCACAACAGCCCTGGAGGATGAGGAGATAGACATGCAGATAGGTGGTGTGTGAATCAATAACTTACGTTTGGCCGACGATATAGCACTGCTTGCTGAACGTTCAAATGAGCAGCAGGCCGTGGTAAATAGAGTGGTGGAAGTCAGTGAAGACCTTGGTATGAAAGCAAACATGGAGAAGACTCAGTACAACACATAGAAGGGGGCACAAGGATTTTAACATTGTAATAACGAATCAGATCCTCAAGTAAACAGTCAACTTTGTCTCTCCCGGAGGAAACCTCAGTTCAAAGGAGGGATCTATTTCAGACATCAAGAGGTGGATAGGGACAGCGAGGGCTGCATTTCAGGCACTAGGAAAGGTTTGGTCAGCAAGAAACATAATGACAACAAAATTACAAGTACATGAGACACTTGTCTTGAGCTGCCTTCTTTACAACTCCAAAACCTGGACAATGAAACACTCCTCAGAACAGCGGCTGAATATGTCTGAGGTGGCATGTCTCAGGAGGATTTAGACATCACATGAAGAGACTGTGCAAAGATGACACGAAGAAACATCTCCATCTACAGAAGGAAGTAAACTACAGGATATGGCAAGGGGGCTCGAGATACTTTGGCCATGGCATGAGAATGAATAACGGCAGACACCCGAAGATAGCATTGCTTTGAGGAGCGCAGGGGATAAGGCGAAGAGGAAGGCCTAAAAAGCGCTGGATAGACAGCATAAAGGAAGACTGTGGAACCTTGGGTATGACAATAACACTAGCATCTAGGACTGCCCAGGATAGAAACAACTGGAGAACCTCTATAAATGGGCTGTTCATGTATGTTAAGCATTGCTGAGGCATAGATGATGATGATGATGATGATGATGATGATGATGATGATGATAGGTGTCTCTTAGTTCTATCTTCTTTAAAGCAAAGACTGAACCAGACATAACACTTATCAAATGCAGATTGCTGGGTGCCAGGGCATGCTTGCTGGCTCATTTCTCCTTTCTCCTTTCTCTGTTTGTAGGCAGCATAGCCTCCTTTGAGGCTCCGAATGCCAAGCTTCGATTGGTGGTCCTTGCTCTTGGCGTGTCTTCTTCGCTGATAGTGCAAGCTGTGAGCTGGTGGACAGGAAGTGGATTGCAAAGGTATGACTCACGTCTTAGGTACCCGTAGATAAGCAGGTATGACCAGTTCCCGGAGCGAAGTTCTGACCATTAGTTTCAGGGCAGTTTTCCCTTCCACAGGGCCTTGTAAAAGTCCGCCTTTCTTTACAGAAAGTAAAGTGCAAATACTTGCTATCAATCTTATTTTGTTAAGATTATTCTTGGTACGAGAGACCGAGTGTGTGTGTGTGTGTGTGTGTGTGTGTGTGTGTGTGTACACATGCATGTGTGGAATCCAGAGGACAGCTTTCAGTAGTTGGTTCTCCCCTTTCGCCATGTAGGTCCCAGAGAATTGAACTCAGGTAGCCAGGTTTGGCAGCAAGTGCCTTAATTTGCTAAGGCATCTCACTGGTCTCCTGGGCAACAGAAATTGGACGTGGTGACTTTTTTGGGAAGAGAGAGAGGGAGTATAAGTGGAGTTTTTTTTTTTTTATTGGGACTGATGGCTACCCAATAAACTTAAATATTAATTATAAATGCTCAACCAATAGCTTAGACTTGTTACTAACTAGCTCTTACAACTTAAATTAACCCATATTTCTTATCTATGCTCTACTACATGGTGGTGCCTTCCTCCAGCATGGCAGGTTCATCTTGCTTCTCTCCACGTCTCCTAGTGACTCCCCATGACTCTACTCTTCTTCTTCCCAGCATCCTCTCACTTTAGGTCTCCTGCCTCACCTCTTCCTGCCTAGCTATTGGCCAGTCCGCTCTTAATTATCAATGAGAATATCACATCTTCACAGTGTACACATCTTCACAGTGTACAAAAGGATTATTCCACAAAGGGGGAGGAGGGCACAAGGAAGAGAGGGTGAACCTGGGAGGAATGGGAAGCAAGTGTGACCAGCGTGCATGAAATTCCAAAATAATTAATAAAAATATTTTGTTAGAAAAATTAGTGTAAGTTGCCTAGGTGCCAGACTCTACAAAGGCTAAGTAAGTCAAGGACATCCCTGAAGATTATCAGAAACAGAACTGCAGAGCCATATTCTGTGAAATAAATCCACAGTGGGCGTAATCCATTGAATCCACACTTAAAGTCTTCAGTAAACTACTTTCACTTCCAGGTACCTCAGACTCTGGGGATTCATTCTGGGACACATGCTTCTTGTTGTCCTCCGGATATGGTACACATCACTGAACCCGATTTGGAGTTATCCAATGTCCAACAGAGTGATCCTGACATTGAGCGTCATAGCTATGTTTGACTGCATTGGCACAGGTAAGGGTATAGTCAGTTTATCTGGGGATCTTCTCTCGGGTGGCATCTGGCTCTCCCCTGTAGCACATCTGAAAAGGAATGTTCTCTTTAGTGGTGCTGGGAATCAAACCCAGAACCTCATTCAGGCAAGCACTCTACCAACTGAGCTAAACCCCAGCTCTAAGACAACTTATAAAAATAGCTTTCTGCAGTGTGGCTCCGTGTCGGTTGTCCCTCTTGTTGCGCAGTAATGGACACAGACACGATGGGCTGTTATGGCTGTTATGTGGGCAGATTGCCCTGGCTCCTTGGCAATGCATACACGAGTGGCAGAAAGTAATGAGAGAACCATGGGCGGGATGTGCCCGCGTGTCCATCTGGGACTCGAGTGGATCCTGCACTTCAGCTCAGTTTTCCTGTCTTCTCCATTACTCTGCCTGGTCTGGGATGGGAGTCTCCTTTCTCAGCATCCATCCGCCCTGTGCCATTATTTCCAAACCTCAGACCCTTCCGGGATCTGAACACAGCAGGCGTTCTTTGCCTTTCTATTGAAGATGTGTTGGGTCCTAGGGGCTGGAGACACCCCAGCTGACCATCTTTCATTCAATAAACACAGCTCAGGTGACCCCTTCTCTCTGGACTCCCAGCTTGATCCTTGACCTCTCTGCATCCCCACAGCCTGTTCCAACCCCTACCCCTCCTCATAGCTTTCTGCCCACTTTTTTCTCTGACCTTGCTCCTGTCAAAATGGCTTTTCTTCTTCTCAGCAATATCAGGCCAACAGTCCCAGAGGCAGACCTCAGGGCTGCCTCCTGTCTCATAGAAGTCTTCGTGGAATCGCAAAGCATCTCTCCAGTAGGCTTTTTGTGTGGGTACAAAGATGTTCTCCTGCCATTCCTTCCTCCTATAGCCTCAATTTAGTGCGTGAAGCTGGGGCTTTGATGAGAGTCTCTAGTCACACAGCATGCAGGACCAGGCCAGCGTGACACTTTGTTAAGGAGGCACACTGCCTTAGCTACTGTCAGTTTCTCTACTGGCTGTGTGATCTTGGACCAGTTAGTTGATCTCTCTGGGCTTGGATTCTAACCTGTGAAATGGGATTCGTAACACTGCAGACCTCAGACACTGGCAAAGATGAACTGAATCATGTAAGGGGCTCATACAGCCGAGGCTCATGGAAACGCAGTCAGGATACTGGGTTCTTAGAGTGTTTGATGAGATACTATTTTTTAAATTTATTTTTTAAAACAATCTTTTCTCATTTTACATACCAATCCCAGTTCCCACTTTCTCTCTTCCTGCTCTCCCCACCTTCCACCCCCCCCCCCAATCCACTCCTCAGAAAGGGTGAGGCTTTCCATGGGGAGTCAACAAAGCCTGGCATATCACTTTGAGAAAGGACCAAGGCCCTCCCCCCTATATCTAGACTGAGCAAGGTATCCCTCCAAAGAGAATGGGCTCCAAAAAGCCAGTTCAAATACTAGGGATAAATCCTGGTCCCCCTGCCAGTGGCCCCAGAGACTGCCCCAACCACACAATAGTCCCCCACATTCAGAAGGCCTAGTTTGGTCCTATGCTGGTACCCCTGCTGTGAGTTCAGAGTCAGTAAGCTCCCATTAGCTCAGGTCAGCTGTTTCTGTGGGTATCCCCATCATGGTCTTGATCCCTTTGCTCTTATTATCACTCTTCCCTCTCTTTGACTGGATCCTGGGAGCTCAACCCATTGCTTAGCTGTGGATCTCTGAATCTGCTTTCATCAGTTGCTGGATAAAGGTTTTATGATGACAATTAAAGTAGTCATCAATCTGATTACAAGGGAAAGCCAGTTCCCCTGTAATAAGAGAGGCACCCTCTCCACGGTTGCTTAGGGTCTTAACTGGAGCCATCCTTGTGGATTCCTGGGAATTTTCCTAGTGCCAGTTTCTCACTAACCCCATAATGGTCCATCAGTCAAGATATCTCTTTCTGCCAGGTGGGGTTGGTACATACGTTTAATCCCAGCGCTCGGGAGGCAGAGGCAGAAGGATCTCTGTGAGTTCGAGGCCAGCCTGGTCTACAAGAGCTAGTTCCAGGACAGGCTCCAAAGCTACTTTCCTTGCTCTCCCTCTCAGCCCTTCCCCCATCTCGGTCATCCCCATTCTGTTCCCTCATGTTTTCCTCCTCCTCCCCTTCTCTCCTCCCTTTCCCCTTCCACACCCTCTCTGCATGCTCCCAATTTTATCAGAAGATTTTGTTTATTTCCCCTTCCCAGGGGAATCTATATATGTCTCTCTCTGGGGTCATGGGAGACCCTGCTCGATCATGAGGAAGCAGCCTTTGGTGCTAGCATGTTGCATTTGTGTTGGATAATGCTTATTCTCTTGAGACAACATTCTCTTTTTCCTGCCCATATTTCTCTCACTCCGTTACCTTTGCATGAATTTAGCAGCTTTCTACAAGAAAGTTTTACCTGTGAGTTCTACTTGCTTTCCTCCTGACACCCCATAGCTAGCCAGAAATGATCCCTCCCATCAGATAGCTCTGGCGCATTCAACTTCTCAGAGATATAATATCCCCTCTAGCAAGAACTCTAGCAAGTTCTTGAAGCCATGAACTATTTCCAGCCACAGAGAGTCTGGTAAAAACAGAAACTACACACTCTTTACCCTTATTATTTCCCTATTTCCTTTTTTTCCCTTTAAATTCTAGATGGTTACTACAGTACCTCTGAGGGGAAGAAGCCCAGCGAAGTCACCAAGGGCGTGGCTTCTCGAAATAGCTGGCTGTTGCCAGGTGCTGCCTTTGGGAGCCTCATGTTCCTCACTCACTGGATCTTTGGAGAGGTCTCTATTGTTTCCAGATGGGCAGTGAGTGGTCATCCTCATCCAGGGCCCGATCCTAACCCATTCGGGTGAGTTCAGCTCCGTTAGCTCTGGGGAGGAGCCAGAAGGGTGTCTGCTCTGCACTAGAGAATTGTGGGAAAGTTGAGGGGAATTGAGGGCTGTATTGAAGTGGCCCCACATTTCTTTATGGGAAGCATGGGGAATCCCTTGTCTGTGGGCATGGCATCTGCTAGTCATTCTTCTCAGCCCCTGTGATGACAGCATTGCGTGTGTGTTGGTATAGATTTCAGCGTCACTGGGAGAGCCAAGACTCTTCCCTGTGTTCTCCTTTGCAGATGGACAGAATGGTATAAACTTAAGAGTACTGAGGGAACAACACAGGTGACAGTCTTAAAACAGTGCCTGGTGTGTAGCCAGTGCCAGGCTTGAAGTTAGATTTCAGCTATTTAAGCAATACTATATTGTAGCTCCCATTGCTAACGGATTTCCCACTGATGTTTACTTCAGTTTTTATTACTTTTAAATGTATGTGAGTGCTTTACCTACCTGTTCATCTGTGCCATGTGTGGGTGCCCGATGCTGGTAGAGGCCAGAAGAGGGTGTCACATCTGCAACGGCCCTTACAGATGTCCGTGAGCCACCATGTGGGTGACAGGAACCAAACCCAGGTCCTCTGCAAGAATGACAAGTGTTCTTAACTGCCCAGACATCTTTCCAACCCACTTTAAATTCTTCTCCTGTAAAGTTTTTTTTGTTTTAATTTTTATGATTTATTTAACTTATTTTATGTGCATTGGTGTGAGGTTGTCAGATCCCCTGGAACAGGAGTTACAGACAGTTGTGAGCTGCCATGTGGGTGCTGGGAATGGAACCTGGGTCCTCTGGAAGAGCAGTCGGTGCTCTTAACCGCTGGAGCCATCTCTCCAGCCCCTAAACTTTTTATAAAAATAACAAAACAATGAAATAGCTTGTGGTAGTTAAAAATAAGTAAGACTGTCAAGCTGTCACTCATTTTAGGAAGACACTAGATAAAAGCAATACTGAGAGAGAATAAAGACAATTCCACAACAAACATTGCCAGTGACTCGTCCTTTGGTCCTTGGCAGACTCATGTGAAATCTCTAGTGGCTGCTATGAGCTGTAACTTAAGAGATGGGAATTCACTGTGTCTACACTGACCATGAGAGACTTCTGGCGTTAGACTGTTTGCTACTTCAATGCTCTATTTTGTTCGTTTTATTTTCGGCACTGCACATTAACCCCTCCCGTACGCTAGGCACGGACCCTTCACTGAACCACCCCATCCGTTCTCCTTGAGTGTTCTGTGCACTGGTTCCCAGCGGCTCTCATTCTCGCCATTGCTTCGTATCCACTGTGTGATATGAATGGATGTAGCTAGCGGTGGTAGATAGATTTCTGATCTATGCTTGATCGATGTATTGATTTTGCTTTTTATTTTCATTTATTTACAGAGGTGTGGTTCTGCTGGGCTTGGCTAGTGGATTGATGCTTTCAGGTTCATCAAGGCTTTGTGACGCTGGGCTAGCCTGGTGGGCAACAGGTATGTAGAACTGGCCTGAAGTCCCATTGTCATTGCCCCTAACAGTGAAGGGTCTGCTGTAGATATCTTGAAGAATGCTTTTGTTCCTTTATTGTCTGTTTTGTTTAATGTCTTTTGGCCTGAATGGCCAGGGGTTCTGGTGATTGGCTGGTTGTCAGGTTGAGTAGGGTTGTTTCATCTGAAGTTTGAGGGGGTTTGGGTGCCTTGATCTAGTGTATTATCCAGTTCTGGCTAGTGTGGTTATTACTTGTGCCTATGGGTCTGCTCTTCCAACTGGTATGGGTCATGCATATGCCTATAGGGTCTGTTGATGTTGCTGGAGAGGGTTGTTCACAGGGAAGCTCTTCCTCCAATTGATGCAGATGGTGCCTGTGCCTCGGGGGCCACTGATGCCACAGGGGATCCCCCCTTCCCAAAGAACAAGCATTGACCTGAGATTTGTTGCACTGTCTACTTCTAGGAGTGCTAGTGCCAGGCTGTGGCTGGGAACAAGCCATGTTCAGCTGCTACACTTTGGTTTGCTTGGGAGTTGAGCACCAACCAGTGGTCTCCTGAGGTTTCCAGCACTCACCCACTAAGAACTGGTCATGCCATGAGCTTTGCTGTTCTCTTGCGTCTCTCATCCTGCTTTTTCTTTTTCCTGTCTCTTACAAACAGGAGCAGCTTCAGCCATGGGTCTCCTTTACCTGCATACGTGGGCAGCAGCTGTTTCTGGATGTGTACTGGCCGTCTTCACGGGGTCTGTGTGGCCTCAAGTACTTGGACACCTTGTGAACTCTGGGACAAACCCTGGGGAAACCATGACCACAGGCATGATCACTTATCTTTTAGAAATATTTTTCTGTGCCTGGTGCACAGCTTTCAAGTTTGTTCCTGGAGGTGTCTACGCTAGAGAAAGATCGGATGTGCTTTTGGGTGAGTCCATGTCCACAGATCCTGTTAAAGAAACTGACCCACGTTCCTGAAGACACTCACCTTCCTATCCCCTGAGCTCTACCTCTGTCAGGACAGGCTGTTCTGGAAGACTCACTGTGAAGTGAAACAGGATCTCTGAGAATTCCCTATTTCCCGTCTTGGCTGGGACTTTCACCCCCTTAGAGGAACATGGAACCATGACCCCAACTCCTCCCAAATCCTTCTCCACCTCTCTACCCACCCAACTTCACCTTCTTTTTCTTTATTAAGACAAACCAAGTAACAAACAACCCACAAAAAAAAAATATAGAGTCTGATTCGTGTTGACCCTTACTGTAACACTGATATACCCGGTGCCACTCTATTGAGGAAAACGGATTTTCCCCTCTTCCAGCAGATATCAATTACAAATAGTTTCTTGATTATGGGTGGAATTTGTGCCCAGTTACCTACATTTTCTCTGCAGGTGCCGGGCTTTGCAAACTTTGTAATTCTTGTGGTTTCTTTCAGGTGGGTCTACTCTCTCGGGCTCTGCTCTGTCCGGTGTCCTGCTTTTTTTTCACTCCAGCTTGCTCGGGGTGCTGCCTGGTGGAGGACGGGAGAGAAAGTAAGAGCTGTGCTGTCCCTGGCTTTGTTTCTTTGGAGCACTGTGAATGATGGGCTTTGCTAGTTTATTCTCCTTGCTCATAGACCTGTGAAACTGGGCTTTGTCTCAGCTTCGCATGAATGAGAACCTTCTTTAATAAGAAGAGTGACATAGTAACCAGGCAAGGAAAGTTGGCAATGTTGGGCAGCTTTCTACAAAATGTCTTTATTGGTTTTTTGAGAATATCACAATAGATTTTAATCATATTTTTTCCCCTTCCCCAACTCTTCCAAGATCTTCCCCCTACCTCCCTACCTGATACGTATTTTGAAATCCCTGGTAGTGGTTTTCTCTGCTGATGCAATAAGCTAAATCAAGCTGAATTAAAAGCAAAGCTCTCCTGGGTGATCTCAGGATGGAGGAGATCACACTGCTGCTCCCAAAGAGGGGGCTTTAAATATCCTGTAGGTGCAGTCTTTGAACAAACTCCAGGGGAGAAGCCACCGTCTGACTGTGGGAATTTTGTCCGGCTTGAACCTGTGCCAGGTCTTATGCATGCTCTCATAGTCTTTGTGAGTTCATACATCCACCAGTCCTGTTGAGTCTAAAAATGGGGTTTCCTTGGAGCCTTCCTCACACACTATCTCTGCCCCCTCTTCTGCATAGTCCTGGGCTTTGAGGGAAAGCTGTGTTAACGACACCTCTTACTGAGCACTGTGTAGTCTCTCACTCTCTGTACTTTGTCAAATTGTGGGTCTCTATGTTAATGAACATCTTCTGCAAGAAGATGCGTCTATGATGAGGGTTGAGTGAGCTACTGCTCTATGGATGTGCCAGTATGTCACGAGGAGTCATTTTATTGCGATGACCATTTAGCAGAATAATAGCAGTGAGTTTCCCCTAGGGCCCATGATCAGTCTAGTTCCAGGTTCTTGGCCTCAGTAACAGTGTAACACATGAGTTTCATTTCATTGAGTGGGCCTAAATCAGGTTTTTTTTTTTTTTTTTTTTTAAAAAAAAAAAAACAGGAGTTGGTTACTCCCATAACATCCATGCCACTATTGAACCAGTGGGCATAGCTTGTAGGCAGGTTGTTGTTGTAGTTCTAAGCTTCTAGTTGAGTACCAGCTAGATTCCTCCATGTTATTCTCTGCAAAAGTAGTAGGTGCTCTTAACCACTGAGCCCTCTTTCCAGCCTCCATCTCACCATTGTTGATAGAAGGCATTATCTTTTACGATACTGGGTATTGAATCCAATGCCTCATGAGTGCTAGGTACGCCTTTGCCACGGAGTTATGCCCCATCTCTCTTTTTTTCTCTTTCTTTTTTTTTCTTTTTCTTTTTTATGCATTTATTTATTTATTAAAGATTTCTGCCTCCTCCCCGCCACCACCTCCCATTTCCCTCCCCTTCCCTCAATCGACTCCCCCTCTCTCATCAGCCCGAAGAGCAGTCAGGGTTCCCTGCCCTGTGGGGAGTCCAAGGACCACCCACCTCCATCCAGGTCTAGTAAGGTGAGCATCCAAACTGCCTAGGCTCCCACAAAGCCAGTACGTGCAGTAGGATCAAAACCCAGTGCCATTGTTCTTGACTTCTCAGCAGTCCTCATTGTCCGCTATGTTCAGCGAGTCCGGTTTTGTCCTATGCTTTTTCAGACCCAGTCCAGCTGGCCTTGTTGAGTTCCCGATAGAACATCCCCATTGTCTCAGTGTGTGGGTGCACCCCTCGCGGTCCTGAGTTCCTTGCTCATGCTCTCTCTCCTTCTGCTCCTGATTTGGACCTTGGGGTTTTTTTTCTCTTTCAACAGGAGCCATAATGGTAATTATTGGATTAAATATGCTGTTTGGACCTAAGAAAAACCTTGACTTTCTTCTTCAAACAAAAAATAGTTCTAAAGTACTTTTGAGAAGGAGTGAAAAATACATGAAACTTAGTAAGTATAGTTTTACTTGCCTTTAAAAAAGTTTGATGAATAAAATTTTTTCTTTACTTTTGTTTTTTTTCTTTCTTCTTTTCTTTTGAGACAGAGGGTCTTCTGTTTATTTGTTTATTTTTCAAGTCAGGGTTTCTCTCTGTAGCCCTGGCGGTGCTGGAACTCACTCTGTAGACCAGGTTGACTTAGACTCACAGAGAACCCGCCTTTGCCTCCCGAGTGCTGGGTTTAAAGGTGTGCGCCACCACTGCCCAGCTTGAGACAGGGTCTTTTTATGTAGCTCTGGCTATCCTGAAACTCACTATGCAGACCAGGCTGGCCATGAATTCACAGAGATATTCCTGGGCTCACAGAGATAATCCTATCTCTGCCTCCCCAGGGTTGGGATTAAAGGCATGTGCCTCCATGCCTGTCTCATGTTGTATCTATTTTCTAATATGAGATTCAAGAGTACCACGAAGCCTGCTGAGCCCTTCACTTGGCTATAACAACTCTGTATTTTGCTGCCAGTTGTATTGTTTCCTTCCTGCCTTTTGGTTTGTTGAAACATGTTGCAGAATATTTGTTTAACTATGCAGATATGTGCTGCGTTTATTTAACTATGTAAAGCTGTATGGCATTTGTTTGTGTTGTGGAATATTTGTTTAATTATGTAAAGGTTTGTTGCTGTTTTACAGGTGTGTGCCTGTCCAAGGCACATATTTGGTCTAATGAAAATCTGATTGACCAATAGCGAGGGAGGAGGTATAGGTGGAACTTCCATGCAGGGAGAGTGAGTAGGGGGAGGAATTTAGGCTCAGCGAAAAAGGAGGAGGAGATGGCAGGGAGATGCCATTGACCAGCGAGCCAGACAAGGAGAAAACAGGAAAGTAAGACATACAGAATGAAAAAAAAGAAAAAGTCTCAAGGCAAAATGTAGAAACAGTTTAATGTGAGCAGACTTTTCTTTCTTTCTACCAGTTCCCAAATAACTGACAAAGAGACTTACTATTACTTATAAATGCTTAGCCAATAGCTTAGGCTTGTTACAAGCTAGCTCTTACAACTTAAATTAATCCATATTTCTTATCTGTGCTTTGCCGTGTGGCTTGGTGTCTTTACTCAGTATAGCATGCCCATCTTGCTTCTCTCTATGTCTGCTCGTGACTCCTGATGCTGCCATTCTTCTTCCCAACTTTCTCAGTTTGGCTCTTCTTAATCTTATCCTGTCAACTATTGGCCAGTCAGCTTCTTTATTAAACCAATCACAGCGACATATATTCACGCAGTGTAAAGGAATATTCCACAGGTTAAAATTAAGTTAAAAGAACTAGTGGGACAGACCTAAGCTAAGGTTGAGCATTGATAATTAATGAGATGTCTCCGTGTCATTATTTGGGAGCTGGTTGGCAGCCCAAAGAAAAATTGCAACTACAGAAACACATTTAAGCAAATCCCTGATATTGTGACATTTCAAACATAAATATCCTATATGGTTTTATTTTACTTCTAATATAGAAAATTTATCAGGTAGAATTTCCAAGATGTTTTTTTTTTCTGATGGTTGAGACCATGTATTCATTCCATCCTTCTTCTCTTGCTTTGGAAGATTAAACATGTTAACATTAGTGTGTTGGTAAACTATAGTCTCACACATGAAATAAGCTTGTCACCTAATGTCTGACTCATTTACAATGAACTGGATCACATATAAATGTTTAGTGAATGTATAATGTGCTGATTAGGTGACTGTTATGTAGGCTACAAAGACACATGAACACTGGTTTGTACTCTTAAGCTTTTAAACATTACCAAAGAAGAAAATATTATTGTAAAAAGAGACAACAATTGAAACTATATATTAAAATATTCCCTCAAAATATTTCTGAATTCTGTGTCCCAAAGAGTCACACGGTTATGTAAAATCTGTCATGTATGTCTCATCATAGTCTGGGAGGATCGTATTAAACTGAGATTTTTCTCAATGTGTTTGGCAGTCACGGCTTCACTGTGCTGCCCCTAGAGCTGGAGTTTGTCCTCCCCCTGCTCGGGAGTCTTTGGTCTTCCACTCTGAAGATTCTGACTTTCTCGGTACTGGGACGTCCTCAACATTGTTTTGCTCAGCTGCTTTCTCACTCTCTTTCCTCCATCTTTTTGGATGCCAATTTGGTTATATTGGCCCTTCCATGATTTTTGTTCTTAAGTGCTTTTATTTTTTCCTGCATCTGTTTTATTTTCTTAAAAATTAAAAATATTTGTTTGTTTGTTTGTTTATTCAGTGTGTATGTGGGGGGCAAGGCATGTGTCGAGAGAGTCTGTGTTCTTGTTCTGTCAGGTCCGCACTAGGGATCAAGCTCTCGTGCCTCTCCCTGCTGAGCCATCTTGCTGGCCCCGCCTCTATGTCGCCCTTTGCATTAGTTCTCCTTTAAGCTCTAGTCTGCTCTAGTCTGTATCTTGCCCATTGAACTCTTTCTCACTCATTAAATTATATATTTTTTTATTTCTAGTTTAAACACCTTATTTTATTTTATGAGTCTGAGTGTTCGCCAGCATGTATGTCTGTGTACCATCTCATGCCTGGGGCACCAGAGGCCAGAAGAGGCTGTCAGCTCCCCCTGGAACCAGAATAAAAGTCAGTTGTAAGCTGCCGTGTGCTGTGGATCAAACCTGGGCCCAGTGCTCTTAGCCACCTGTCCGTCACTCCACCCCTCTATTTTTATCTCTAACAATCGGATTTATTTCTTTACAACTTCCCTGATTATTTTGTTGTTAGCCTTCCATTCCCCAGTCATACTTTCGCTTTCTCTCTTGTTTCTGAACACGCTAGGCATGCTCACTCCGTATTTTGATTCTTAAATTTCTGACATCTAAAAGATCTGAAATCTTCATGTGTTGGTTCTTCAGGACATCTTTTCCTGATGTTTGTGCCTGCAAAAATGTCTTTTCATGTATATTTTGTAGTTTATTTCTCTTTGTGTTTTTTTTTCTCTTGTTATGTTCCCAGGGAATAACCTTCAAATGCCTGGTTTTAAAGTATGGATGATGTATACATGTCCCACACATACTCCTTGTCAATAGATAAAATTTTGAAAAAACTATTTAAATGTTTTAGTTTCTTTTTGATGATTCTTTTTTCTTTTTGTTTAGTTTTGTGGCTGCTTGTTGGTGTGGGGTTGTTAGGATTAGGACTACGGCACAAAACCTATGAGAGAAAACTAGGCCAAGGGGTAAGTAATTAACATTTGTTAGATAAAGTTTTACTTTATGTGTGTGTATACATGCACACATACAGGCGTGCACACACACACAGACACACACACATATAATATTGCACAACACTATTCTGTTTTGAACCTTTATTTGACAGTGGTTTGGTACCTGGCCTCCCTTTTCTACTCTTTATTCCTTTTTGTTAAATTTGTCCCCTAGTATTTGAAGTGAAATTATTTATCATGTACATATTCACTCCCATTACTCATTTTCGTCTTCTTGTCTTTTCTTCTCCCACATAGCCCCACCTTCTGCGTCTATGTTATATAGATATATTTAAATTATGGATATGAGAGACAGCATGTGACATTTGTTGTTCTGAGCCTAGCTTAGTTGGCTTAACAGCATGATGTCTGCTTGCATCCATTTCCATGCAAATGACACCATTGCACTATTCCCTGTGGCTCAGTAAAACTCCGCTGCGTATTTGTGCGTTTGCACTGTTTTCTCTACTCGCCAATCTATTGATTGGCATCTTGGTTGATTTCAAATGCTGGCTATTGGGAGTACTGTAGCAAAGTATCTCTGTGATGTGTTACCTTAGACTCCTTAACTTCAGGTAGCTGTCCAGGAGTGGGATAGTCTGATTATATGATGCTTTTGGTTTAGTTGTTGCTGTGGATGTATTTACTTTAATTTTGTGTGTGTATTTTGCTTTCATATATGTATGTGCACCATGTGTGTGCTTGGTGCCCACAGAGGTCAGAAGACGACTTCAGATCCTCTGGAATTGGAGTTGTAGATAGTTGTGAGCCTACATGTGGGGACTGGGAATCAAACCCAGGTCCTCTGTTAGAACAATAAGTGTTCTTAGCCGCTGAGCAGCCCCATGGTTTTGGTGTTTGAGGAGCCTCTACACTGACTTCCAGAGTGGGTGTGAGCTACCCAAAGGCTTTGTCATCATCCACATTTGTTGTCTGTTTTCTGGACACTTGTCATCCTCACAATGTAGCTTTAATTTGTATTTTCCTGCTGGCTAAAGATGTTTAGTGTTTTTTTAAAAATCATATTTATTAGCCATTTATATTTATTCCTTTGAAGAGAATGATTTAGTTGCTTATTCACCCTGTTACGAATTTCTCTACTGGAGAAATTGGATTTTGGTTGTTTAAATAGTTTTGAGTTCGTTGTGTATTATAGATATTAATCCTCTGTCAGGATGTGTAGCCTTCACTCCACTGTTTCTGTTGCTGTCTGTTTATCACTATTTTGACTTAATGGTAGGCCTGAGTGTGATGACTTTAAGACCCTGGGTCCTATCCCTTTTAAGCTGATTACATAATGGAATGATTTAGGAAGTTGAATTCTGAGTCAATGCAGACCCAGGTAATAATGGCAACTTACTCATGCGTTTGATATGTAAAGTTACTTTTCCATTCATGACTTAATAATAAATTTTAAAAGAAAAGAGTGTTTTGTGTTTAATGGAGATTGCGGAAGATGTGGATATGAGAGTCATTGATTCAAGGAAAATCTGAGCAACAAATCTTGATTTCGTAAATTATGTATATCTTGTATAGTGGCATTCTGTGGATGTTTTATTGTCCTTTGTTTTGTAGTTTTACATGTTTAGATGTTCTCTACTCTTCCAGAAAAAGACAGAAGCAAGGATAAGTCATTGCAATACTGTGTTTTCCATCTGTTCTGGTAAAAAGAAAATTGTATTTCATAGTGCAGCCAGAGTTACAGTTTGAGATAAAATAGAATTCGAAGGCTATTGATGAATTCTAGTAATCTGTATTACCAGGAAAAACATTTTTATATTAAATATAAAGCTATTTTGAGGAAGGAGACTGTGGTCCATGTTTCTCTGGTTCTCCCTCACCTTTCTTCTCCTCTCCCTTCCCCCCTCCTCTCCCCTCCCCTCCTTCTTCTCTGCCCTCCTCTCCTCTCCCTTCCCCCCTTCTTCTTCCCTCCCCTCCTCCTCTCCTCTGCTTTCCTCTCCCCTCCCCTCCTCTCCTTTCCCCTCCCCTCCTTCTTTCCTCCCCTCTCCTCTCCCCTCCTCTCTTCCCCTCCTCTCCCCTCCCCTGTTCTCTCCTCCCCTCCACTTCCCTCCCCTCTCCTCCCCTCCCCTCCCCTCCCCTCTCCTCTCCTCCCCTCCCCTCTACTCTCCTCCCCTCCCCTCTTCTCCCCTCTCCTCCCCTCCCCTTTCCTCTCCTCTCTTCCCCTCCCCTCTCCTCCCCTCTCCTCCCCTCCCCTCCCCTCTCCTCCCCTCCCTTCTCCTCCCCTCTCCTCCCCTCCCCTCCCCTCTCCTCCCCTTTCCTCTCCCTCACCCTTTCCCTCTCTCCTCCCCTCCTTCTCTCCTCTCCCTTTTTCTCATCTCCAAGCAGTGCTAGAGACCAAACCCAGGCCACACTGGGTAACCATTTCTTATTCAGTAGATAATAATAAACCACCAATACAGGCGCCTTCGGGTGTTTTTTTCTTGTTAGTTATTATTATTACAATGTATTCTCCACATGAAGAGGATGCCTGATATCAGCCACAAATTCATTTCAAAGCAGTTATTTGAATTTGATTTACTGCTTGTTCATTCATTCACTTACTCATTTGGCAAGCGTTCATGGACTGCCTCTTGCTGTGCTTGGTGCCAGAGGTACATGGGGAAGCTGGACAAGATCTCTGCTCCTCCCCACTTTGCGTTCTAAATAAGGATGGTGTTCAGGCAAACAAATGAAGAAAGACTCGGGCTGGAGGCCAGGTGGCATTTTAAGAAGCAAGACTGTGTGGTATGGAGAGCTAGAGTCTGGGTGGCTATGGAAACTTCTCTGGCATTTGAGATGAGACTTGAAAGTTGATAAAAAGCCAGTTAGATGTGATTCAGCTATGACTCAGCTGAAGGGAAGGTGTATAAAGGACTGAGGGAAAGCCAGCATAGCGTGTCTGAGATGCATCAGAGGGACCTGCAGGCTGAGGTGTTGTGGAGCGGAGGATGACAGTTGGAGAGGCTGGGGATGGTCTCATCACACAGGGTTTCACTAACCACAGTGAGATATCTGTGAAGGATCAAGAAATATAAGATGTGAACATGGTTGTGGTACTAAAAAAAAAATTATTGGCAGCTTTTTCAGCACTCCAAGAAAGAGAATAGTTGAGTGGAGAGTTACAGAGAAGGGGAAAGATTGAGAGTGTGTGTGTGCTTGCGTGCACACGCACACACACACTCACATTTGATAGCTCTATCTATATAGCTTGGCCATCCTGGAACTCACAGAGACACTCCTGCCTCTGCCAAGTGCTGGGATTGCAGGTTCTTATCCTGAGGGTGTTGATTACTCTTCTCATTGCTGGGAGAAAGGATTCGTTTCAGCTCACAGGTTCAGGGCATGGGAGGCATAGTGGCTAGGGTTCTCCATGTGGTGACGGGAGCTTGCCTGGTGACCTGCTACATCTGGGCTCCTCAGGGGACGTAAACCCGTAAGCCCTGCCCTTTCAACTCTTCACCTGCCAGTGAGGCTGCATGCCCAAAATGTCCCACAACTTGCCCGAACAGCACCACTGGCTGCGGTTCAAGTGTCTGAGCACCTGAGTCTCGTGGGGACACTTGGCATTTAAGCCAAAACATTAAGATGGTTTTTAGTTGTTTGTTTAAAGATTTATCTTATTTTTAATTATGTGATGTGTGTGTCTCTGCATGCAAATATGTGCAGTTGGGTACCAGTGCCTTTTCAGACCAGAGAGAGAATCCCCGGGCAGTTATGAGCCAAAGGATGTGGGTGCTAGGACTTGAAGTTGGGTCCTCTGCAAGAGCAGTACACATTTTTAACTGCTGAGCCATCTCTCCATCCTAAGGGGTTTTTAAAAAATCAATTTTCTTGCATTTCTTCACATTGTTACTCCATCCTATGATAGAATCCTAGACAATATCATTGTGTCTGTGTTTTTAATTCCAGCTAAATCGCTTACAGCTTACTTCAACATTTTTGAAACATAAAGTCATATTTTTGAGATTCATTCATACGGAACTGTGTAGGCCAATTTCTATACGGTTCTCTTGTATGCATATAACTTCATTTGTTTATGATTTTTCCTATGGGGGATTAATTTATCCGGAGTAGGTAGTGTTCTATTTTATGTAACAACACATTTATTCTTTTTCTTGTATAGATAGCTAGATGGCTTCTTTTCTGAACTGCCAAGTTTAAGCTAGAAATTCACAGATTTACTTTGGAAGAACCATAGGATAAATGTTTTATTTTTATGAATTAGATTTGGGAGAAATGCCTCTGGGATTTCCTTTGCTGCAATGTGAACTTTGATCAGAGAGAGGTAGAGAGGGCTGGGACCCCCAAACTTCCGTTGTCCATAGTTATTCAAAGTTATCACTTCCACAATTCCTCAGGCACCAGCAAATGTGGTCTCCGCTGCCATCTGGCCTTTTCGGTTCGGCTATGACAACGAGGGATGGTCGAATCTAGAGAGGTCCGCTCAGCTGCTCACGCAGACGGGTGAGTCTTTCTGGAATTGGCTCCAGGTTTTGAGAAACCACTGTTGATCCTTTTATTTTTGCCAGGTTGCCAAGTCTTAGGATTGCTGTGTGTGCTCTAAGTTCCTGGAGAGGCTTAGCTTTGTGGCCAGCTCAGGTCTGCACTTCTGCGCCATGCCTGTCTCATGGAGCAATTAACTCGTTGATCTGGAACAGCCTGTCCTACTGAGTACCTGCAGGAGACTCAGCTCACACTCTTGTTGTTAGAGATGTTCCTGCTGGTGTCTCTCACCCCCCCCCCCCCCCAAAGACCGGGAAACGATTTGAGATCACAGGCAGAAAGAGTTTAATGTAAAGCAGTGAAAATTGTTTCCAGGGCCTGGAGAGGCAGCTCAGTGGTTAGAAGCACTGACTGCTCTTCTAGAGGACCCAGCTTCAATTTCCAGCACCCACATGGCCATTTCATAACTGTTTGCAACTTCAGCTGCAGGAGATCCGACGTCCTCAGACAGGTGTGCATGCAGGCAAAATGCCGGAGCACACAAAAGAAATTTTAAAAAAGGTTTTCAAAAAGCCCCAAGGTAAATCTTATTTGCCTCTGTGCCCTTGAGGAATTTTCTTGTTGTGAAGCACTGCGAAGTGCATGGGGATTTGGGTCTTAGGTCAGCGATATGGAGTCTGTAGCATGACAAAGAGCTGAATGGATCTGGTTATCTCTCATGCTAAGCCCAGCTCCCAAGAAGTGTGTGAGTGCCTTCGTGAGCACAAGGCTGTTAGTCTTGTTTAGAAGGCTCAGGCACTCCATGTCAGAGTCTAAGAAAAGCAAGCAAACTCATTTTTATACCAATACTGTGGAGCTGTTAGCCTTGAACTAAAATACCATCCTGGGGTTGAAGATGTAGCCCAGTGGGTAGAGTGCTCGCCTACTGTACACAAAGCTCTGGGTTCAATTCCCACCACTGCCTAAACTAGACATGGTGGTTCATACCTGTAACCTCAGCACTCTGAAGGTGGAGACGGGAGGACAGAAATTCAAGGTCATCCCCAGCTAAGAGGCCTCAGTTAAGAGGCTAGCCTGACCTATGAAGACTCGTTCTCAAAAATCATAAACGGTTCATGTGCGCTAGTCTGTTGTTTCTGAACATACGCTTGGAATTTATGAAAGCCATGAAGATTACTTGTGCTTCTGGAAAAAGTGTCAAGAATATTTTTTTAAATATGGAAAAGTCATGCTCCCTTCTTTTTTAAGATGCCCCATGCTTTAATTAAATTCTAAGAATCCAGCACGGGTTCGAGTCATACTCCTCTAATGACTCAGAAGGAATTATGTGCTTGGGGCTTTCTGGGTGCAGGCGAGGGTCAAGACTAACGTTCTGTCGGGTGTGCTGGTCTGCATCCATAATCCCCGCGCTTGAAAGGTAGGAGGATCATGAGTTCAAAACCAACCCCAACTGCCAAATGAGCCCTTGCCTTCACACAACAAAACAATAGCAAAGCCCTTGCAGTTTTTTTTTTTTTTTGCTTTTTCCTGTTGCCGCTGCCTCACTGTCTGCCTCACTGTCTGCTTCTGCCCCCTTCCCCAAACAGGTGCGGACTTTATTACCATTTTGGAGAGCGATGCTTCTAAGCCCTTTATGGGGAACAACGACCTAACCATGTGGCTGGGGGAGAAGCTGGGCTTCTATACGGACTTTGGGCCAAGCACCAGAGATCACACTTGGGGGTGAGTGGACCTTGGGGATTAATGCTGAGCAGAGTCCTGAAGGGTAGGGAGCAGTGGCTTGGGATGGGAAGCTGAGCCTGTCCTGTGGCTGCCGCACTGTGATGCATCTGGGAGGGCGACGCTGACATTACACATTGTCATGAATGTTTATAGTGGCTTCCTGGGGCTGGAGGTCACTGGGTCTTCACCTAGGCCAGCCCACCAAGGCTGGAGGGGAGTCCCAGTGACAGGCCTGTCTGATATTCTCAGGTAGCTTAGACTCTAGTGCAGACAGCCAGAACACATTGGCCTTCCACATCAGCTTCTTCACGCCTGGATTCCAACAACAGGAAATTGAAAATATTTGATAAATTCTAGAATGTTCCAAAGAGTGGGGCTAGAGAGATGGCCCCCAGTTTAAGAGCACTTGCTGCACAATCGTCGGGACCTCAGTTCAGATCCCAGCACACATGTAGCAAACTGGGCATCTCTGCAAATGCCAGGACTCCAGGCCAGAGGGATCTGCCTCCCTCTTTTGGCCTGTGAGCACAGACAGGCGCACCCACACACATATATGTGCATGAGCACGCGCGCACACACACACACACACACACACACACACTGAAAAGATAATAAAGTCTTTGAAAAGCAGAGAGTTCCCCCAAAAAGTATGCCTTGAATTTGCCACTCATTAAGTATTACATTTACTATGTGGGAATGAATGGATGTGTAGGCATTAAATTACATGCTATAAATAATCTAGAGATGGTTGGACACACTCAGGAAGACATGAAGAGATTGTATGTAAGTGAGACATGATTTTACGTAAGACAATCATTTGACATTTCTGTGTTTGTGGACATCATGGAGTCAGTCCTCTGCGGACACTGAGGGACAGCTATAAACAGTTTCACAAAGAAATCAACAACCATCTGAGATCATGCTATGTACTACATAGGAAGGAAACCAGCTCCTGAGAGAGAGTAGGTGGGCGGGTAGGGGCCGTGGGATGTTACAGTAACAACAAGTAACAGTAACAACCGCAAGACAGGCTAACTCGGAAGAGGCAATGAACTATCAAGCCAGCTTCCACAGATGTCTGCCACTTTCCTGCTCCGAGTGCCCCTCAGTGGATGCCAGTCACGTGACATGACTTTTTAGTGCATTTCCTTCATCTCATCTCATGATAGGCTGCACTGTTTTCATTCTCCTACAGGATTATGGCGCTGTCCCGGTACCCAATTGTGAGATCGGAGCATCACCTTCTTCCGTCGCCAGAGGGCGAGATTGCACCAGCCATAACTCTGACTGTTAACGTCTCCAACAAACTGGTGGACTTTGTGGTGACGCATTTTGGGAATCACGAGTGGGTTTCTTTGGTTTACTTAATATTGTAGAAATGATAGGCATTATTAAATATTACCTTGAATTTTTTATGTAACATTCTGACTTTCTACTCCTTTAAAGAAACATGTTAGATTATTTTCTGTGTTGCTGGTTGTACATGCACTTGAGATGCAGACAGTCTGAAAGGGTTGACCGTGCAAGACACAACTCCCGCTGTCCTTACAGGGTTATCAGCACAAACAGCCGCACTGTTGGGAGCTGAGGGCTCTAAGTGACATTCCTTTCTTTTCTCGTGTTTTCAGAAACAGCTGACAGGCAACGCTGCTATCCACACACACTCACTCCGCTAGGTCCTGTCTTCCAGCCTCCTTCAGTAGGATTGCTCCGCACTCTCAGCTCCTGGTGATCGCCCCACATCTTGCTCGGCCCCTCTAACACACATCAGCTATCTTTCTGTGGAAATGCTGCTGGGTGGTAATGGCAGCAGCACAGGCCTGTAGTCCTAGCACTCATAAGGCAAAGACAGGTAGATTTCTGAGTTTGAGGCCAGCCTAGTCTACAGAGTGAGTTCCAGGACAACCAGGGCTACACAGAGAAACCCTGTCTTGGATGGGGATGGGGGGGGGGGAAGGAAGGAAGGAAGGAAGGAAGGAAGGAAGGAAGGGATGGACTTGGTTACTTACAGATTTGTTCCTTGCTCCTATCTGTGACTATACATGGAATATATATATTTCATTTCATATACATATTTCCCAATGTCCTTTGCCTTCTATTTTCTGGGCAGATTTAGCCAATGAGAGGTACAAGTTAGGAAGACTCATGGCGGTTATTAGTTTTTTTAGCAGTGATCCTGTCGACCGGGTCGCACTCACCACCACCCTTTCCTCTTTCGCTTGTGTATTGACTCGTACTTGCAGTGCTGGAGAGTAAGCTCAGAGCCCACGTGCAGGCGAGGAAAATGCTCTTCCTCGATGAGCTGCATCTTCACCCTGCTGTGGCTTACTAATAGTGACGAAAACCTGAACCCATTCTGTGTTTGGCCTAGCTTAAGGATTTGTTTTATCTGTGTGCCAGCTCCTGTGAGTGGGGACATACACAAAAGCGTGAGTGCCCGAGGAAGCCAGAAGAGGGTGACACATGTCATGACTCTGAGGTCAGAGGCAGGTGGGAGCTGGCTGATGTGGATGGTGGGAACCAAATCCCATGCCTCTGCAGGAACAGCAGGTCCTCCTAAGTGCTAGGCCATCTCGTCAGCCCCAGCAGAGATGTTTAAATCCACTTGACTCAGTGGTTTCTGAAGAAAGGTTTTTCCTTAGTCAATAGTGTGTCAAGCCTAGTTTGAAGTGCTGATCTATCTACGTCCTGTTCATTGTAAAAATTCAGACCTTTTCCCAACACAAAGTTCTCTGCTGTTGTAACTTGTTTGAGGATATTGGGGGGGGGGGGATTTGGCTACCTGCTTTTTTAAAAAATTGTTTTACACATATAATGAAGAGGCTCATTTTTTCATGTTTTCTTTTCTTTTTTTTTTTTTTTTTTAGAGATGACCTTGACAGGAAACTACAAGCTATTGCAGTTTCAAAACTACTGAAAAATTGCTCGAACCAAGTAATATTTCTGGGCTACATCACTTCAGAACCTGGTTCCAGAGATTACCTGCAGCTCACGGAGCATGGCAACGTGAAGGTAACACAGTTTTAATACGGTTTCTGCTCTGCTAATTTAAATGCTTGAAAAATCCAACCCCCAAAATTCCAAGTGTGTGTGTGTGCCATTGGAGGTCACAGTATTCTGAGAATACCACAGGCCCAGTGAGATGTTATTGCTGTCCCTAGAAAATAAAATCCAGCACACTCCAGGGTCACTCACTGAACCTGGAGCTCATGGAATAGACCCTGGAATCTGCTTGTATGTGTTTTCCTGGGCTAGAATGACAAGCATGCACCAACTGCGTGCAGATTTTTATATGTGTGCTGGGGATCTGTGATGGAGGAAGGTCATTGGTTAAAAAATAAAGAAACTGCTTGGCCCTCATAGGTTAAAACATAGGTGGGAGGAGTAAACAGAACAGAATGCTGGGAGGAAGAGGAAGTGAGCTCAGAGGCCATGCTCCCCTCTCCCGGGCACATGCGATGAAACTCCGACCCAGGATGGACATAGGCTAGAATCTTCCTGGTAAGCACACCTTGGGGTGCTACACACATTAATAGAAATGGGCTAGTCCAGGTGCGAGAGTTAGCCGAGAAGAGGCTAGATATAATGGGCCAAGCAGTATTTAAAAGAATACAATTTGTGTGCTGTTATTTTTGGTGTAAATCTAGCCGTGTGGGAGCCGGGTAGGATGAAAAGCAGGCCCGCACCTCCCACAACAGATCTGAAGCCTGGTTTGTGTGGCAGGCCCTTTTCCAACTGAGTCGCCTTCCCAGCACCCTAACGGCTTAATAAATGTTTATTATTATTATTTATTTATTTGTGTGCTTATTGCACACAAAAAAGCACTGCACAGCCTACTGTTTTGCTCACTGGTCTGCACTATGGAAGGGCTCAGTGAGGACAGCTCGCTTGTGCTTCACCCAGGGCCAGTGAGCTGCTTCCTGGGTACTGCAGGATTTCCTGTGTGGAGGGTTGATAAGCAATGCTTTGGCTCTAACTGGACTTCCTCCCTTCATGATGGCTCGGCTCCAGAGTGTTGCCCTCTAGGTCTTGAGCTCCCACATGGCGCAGTGTCGCTTCTGCAAACCCCACTCCTTGACTTGAATTGATGTCAAAGACATCAGTAAGATTACCACAGGCCCAGAGATGATATTGTGCATGTACTTAGAGAATAAAATCCAGCACACTGTGAAAGTTAGTTCCAAGGCTGTGAGTAAAAGCCGGAATAGGATATCAGAAAGAGTGACTTCCAGGTCACACAGAGCCTTACAGTGTATTTCCAGGTCTAGAACACTTCGGTTCTTCACTGTACCCTGACAGAATCAAGTGCTCAGAAAATAATGCACAAACCAAACACGCAAGAGACTGTTCCACGCGCCAGACTATGACACACATTAGTTTATAGTAAGGACACAATTGCTGTGCTTGATTAGGCTCAGTAGAGATCTCTGACCTTTTTGTTTGGTTTTGCACCTCATGTCTGGAGATGTCTGTAGAGAAGCGGCTAATTTTACTACTCTAACTATCCTTAGGATGTAGCATTGGAGAGGCAGTAGAGACGTGGTGTAATAGGGTTTTGGCAGGTGGTAAAAACTCAAATGCTAGTGGTAAGAACAAGAAAGAAGCATGTTTCTTGGTGGAGTATCAGCACTGATGGAACACTCACTTTGTATTGTCTGGAGTTATAATCCCGATAATGTGATTTCACTCAATCAGGCTTGTGCTGCCATAGCCTTTGTTGCTGGGTGCCACCTCTCTCCCCCATACTATGGTCTCCACTATCATGGTCTCCACTCCTGTGGTCCGATCATGTAAAACAGCATCCATGTTCTATTTGGGACTATAGAAAAAGAGCTAAAGAAAAGGCTATGAGTGTATGTACATTGTCTCTAAATTTAAACTCCAGGAAGTTGACTCTTAAGTTTTTTATATGGTCATACTTCACTGTATAGAACACCGACGTAGAGCAATCCATCTTTATAGACAGAAGTCTCTGTCCTGCCTGGTCCTGCAGTCATTCAATCCCAACAAAACACACAGAGGCTTATATTAATTATAAACTTTTGGCCTATTAGCTCAGGTTTATTTTAACTAGCTCTTACAACTTAAATTAGCCCATAATTCTTTTCTGTTAGCCATGTGGCTTGGTACCTTTTATCAGTTAGGTATTCTCATCTTGATTGCTCTGCATCTGGCTGGCAACTGCCTCTCCTTTTCCTGTTCCTAGAATGAGGTGCAAAACCAAACAAAAATGGTTGCCCTGCCTATACTTCCTGCCTGGCTACTGGTCAATCAATGTTTTATTAAACTAGTATGAGTGACAAATCTTTACCATTTACAAGAGCATTTCCCACAACACATCTTAATGAATGAGAGAGAGAGAGAGAGAGAGAGAGAGAGAGAGAGAGAGCGCTACACAGAGAGCTAGCTCTTTGGAAGAAAGGTAACATTGGGAGATATGTCAGTCTCTGTATTCATGAAGTAGGCAGAAGTAGAGTCAATGTATTTTTTACTTTGGCTGTGATGGTGATATTTATTGTAGAGAAGACATGAAGAAAAACAGGATTGCAAAAGGGATGAACTCAGTTTTGGGCTGAGTTTGAGGCAAGCACGTGGCCTAGTGGCGATGTTAAAGGACAAGAGGATATATAGACCTTGGGTCCCCGAGTTTAACCAGGAGTAGAGATAAGGATCAAGTGTACTGGCAATCCTTCAGGCCATAGGCATGAGTGACTTTCCTTGAGGAATTCAAGAGGTGCGGAAGGAGGCCACAGAAAGCTGCCACTATTGCTTTGGTTTGTGGCACTACAGAATGCCTGGTTCTGGGTAGTTTATGAAGAAAACATTCGCTTACCTTGTAGTTTGGAGGCTGACATTAAACAGTTACGAAGCTCTGTTAGTTCAGCCTCCGGTGAAGGCAATCCCTCTGCATCATAACACAATGGATAACAGGTAGAGGAAACGACCCCAGGAAGAGAGGGACAAGTGCAGCTCATTCTGTGACAACTGGCTCTAGCCTCTGTGAGACCAGCCTTAACCCCTCTGAAGGAGGCGTCCATGACGTGCCCACTTTTTTCCAGGCCCCAACCTACTATGTTCCCATATCTCAACACCCATAATGGATTCCAGGCTCCCATCCCAGGACAGATATTATGGGGTGGTGAGGGAAAGAAGAGAAGCTACCAATCTCAGGTGTAGTGGCATTTCAGACTGCCTGAAGATCAGAGAGTAAAACAGCCCCACTGCTCAGCCTTACAGACCAGGTTATGGGAACACACACCTTTACTCCCAGTAGCCACACTAGTTGCCATAGAACTCAGGTAGTGAATGCCTTTAATCCCAGCCCTAGAGAAGATTATAAAATGGGAGGAAACAGCTCTCAACACACAGTCTCATTCTGAGATTCTTGGAGGTTGAGGTAGGAGCCAGTGGCTGGCTGCTTTGCTTTTTGGATCTTCATGTTAAACCCCAGTTTCTGACCCTGAGTTTTTATTAATCGTGTTTCACTCAGGAAAGAGCCCAGAGAGCTCAGAGGAATCAAAGCAAACCCTATGGGTTGGAACCACAGGGTTTTCAGTTCTCTGTGTGAGAGAGACATGGGTGCAAACATTAGCTCTTCTGTTGGCTTTCCATATATGGTTAAAAGCTGTTTTGATTGGCAATGGATGTTGATATTACTTTCTACAAGTTAGTTGGTGTATAGAGGAATTAAAATCATATATGCTTGGGTGAACAGATTTTTCTCTTTAAGAAATAAGTAATTAAATTCTCTAGTCTTAAAATTTTACAGCATCATATAAAATGTAATGAAGTAAAATAACAGCTAAACAGATTCATAGCTGGTTAGTTCTGTTAGCTAAATGGCTAAATTATTAATCTCTTTCCCAAGGCAAACAGAACACTACTTCTTGTATTTATTTGCTTTTTATAGTTATTAAAAATTTTAAACCCAATTCCTGATATTTATTTACACTTTTTGTGTACAAATGACATGTATAATATGAACAGTAATTAAGATTAACATACAGGTGCCCATCATGTAGCAAATAAAAATCATAAATTGTGCCACAGTTTTTAGTAATATAAAATGCATTTTAAGTTAAATTTAGAGGTGGTAAGAAATCAAGAATTTTTTTTATTTATAGGCTTTTGAAAAGAAGGAAGTGGAGATTTCTTCTTTCAGCCACAAATCTCCATATTTATAGGTTTTTTTCCCCCAATACATTATAGAAAAAAATTCCCATCTCCTTCTCTGATGAAAAATGAACCTGATTTCAAGCCTTCAACATCAAAGGACTCTCAATTGCTCCTGAATATGTTTCTTTCCATGATTCGATTTAGTAAACACAGACCAAGCACTGGTCCAACCCCAGGCTTCGTGCTGAGTACCAGGCAGCTGAAGATCCACAGATGAGATCCCCTCTGCACAGGGAGATGAGGGAGGGGACAACCAAGCCACTGTGGCATTTGACTGCAGCTGGTGTGCAGAGCCTGGCTAGGAGGACTGGGCACTGGTGTAGAGCTCCCGGTTCTGCTGGGGTGGATGAAAGCTGCCGGAGGTGAGACCACAGTGCACCGCCGCTGTGTTTCCAGCATCTGGTACAGAAGTAAAGGGCACAGTAACTATTCAAAAACCATCTCTAGAGGGAATGAGTACTTCATGCAGGAAGGATCAGTAGGAGGAGGATGAGAAAATGATTTGCACACTAGTTCACTTTCCTGCTTTCTTTCCTTCCTCCTTCCTCCCTCCCTTCCTCCTTTCTTCTTCTTCCTTCCTCCTTCCTTTCTTCTTCCTCCCTCCTTCCTCCCTCCCTTCTTCCTTTTTTATCTTCCTTCCTTCCTCTCTCCCTCTCCCTCCTTTCTTCCTTCCCTACCTCCCTCCCTTCTTCCCTTTTTCCTTCTTCCTTCCTTCCTGCCCATCTTTCTCCCTTCTTTCCTCCTTTTTCCTTCTTCCTCTCTCCCTCCCTTCTTCCCTCCCTCCCTCCTTCCTGCCTCCCTTTTCCTTCCTTTCTTTCTTCCTCCTTTTCTCTTTTCCTCCTTCCTTCCTCCCTTTCTTCCTTCTTTCTTCCTTTCTCCCTCCCTCCCTCCCTCCCTTCCTCTCTTTTTCCTTCTTCCTCCATTTTCCTCTCTCCCTCCCTTCCTTCCTTCTTTCTTTTTCTTTTCATCTTTTTGGGCATTCCGAAGAGAGCATTGCTTTCTGTTTTAAGCATTCTCCTCTCTGCTCTCGAACAGGATATTGACAACTCAGATCAAGACAGATGGTGTGAATACATCATGTATCGTGGCCTGATCAGGTGAGCAAAGGCATTTTTTTTTTAAATCTATGAATTCTAGGGTGCAAAGTGTGATGGAAGCAACTAATTTTTGCTGTTTTTATAAATGTTGATTGTGTTGGTTACATTATTAACAGTTTGGACATTTAATACTTTAAGAAGGCAGAAATAAACTGGCAATGGTGGCACATGCCTTTAATCAGGGCACTTGGGAGGCAGAGGCCGGCAGATCTGTGAGTTCAAGGCCAACCTGCCCGGTCTTCAAAGCGAGTTCCAGGATAGCCTGGGCTGTAACACAGAGAAACCCTGTCTTGAAAAACAACAATAAAAACAAAACAAACAAACAAAAAGAAGGCAGAAATAGTTAATCAAACTTAGTGATATCATAAGGGCACGTAAACGTAAACACACAGTATATAATTAATGCACAGTAAGAATGGTGTCCTTGGGAGGTGCCCCTTCTGATAGAGGAACCAGAAAGTACAGCAGTCCTGAGTCACACTAGGGAAGGCGCCCTATGTATGGGGGTTGGAAGGGGATGAGGTAGTGAGTGACTCTTGTCAAGGTGGGGAGGGGAGCAGATCTTGTAAGGTTCCATGGACCTTATTAAGGACTTTGGATATAAGCATAATGGTGACGTTATTGGCCCTTGGACAACTCACCTGGGCGGTTCACGTACTTACTGAAGGGAGTTCAGGAAGCCATTCAGGGGCAATAAGGGTCATTCTGGTTACTGTGTTGATGCAAAGATGCTCCAGCCATTGCCCAGAGAGCTACTAGAGGGCTGGCCTGACTACTGTTTCTGTTTCCAAAGGGTTGTGTAGAAGAACACGCTGTGTCATAAAACATTTCATATCTAAGACTGACAACACGGTTGCTGTTTTGTTCTTCATTCAAGCATTTCTCCTAGGGATATCAGAATTCTAGAAAACCAGCTCCGATGTGGACTGAATAGGTATAACAGTGTGCGCGCATGCGCGTGTATTACAGTTTATGCACTGATCTACTCTGTTGCCCCAGCAAAATACCATAGAGTGAGTGGTTGGTTGAAATAAAAGTCACTCATATTCCCAAAGGTCTAGAACCTGCACAACCAAGGCAGCAGCTTGGTATCTGGTAAGGGTTCCCCCTTTGGGTGGCACATGGCTGCCTTCTTGCCCAGGGCTCACGCAGCCTTTCCCTGGCACTCAGTCAAAAGCGTCGTCTCTCCATCACCCAGTTCACTGCCCTGCACTGCATAGGCATAAATAATAATCGCACAGCAATGGGAGACTCCATGCCTCAGGGGGTTATTCGTATGGTCACAGCCGTATCTTCAAGGACTTCAGGAATGTCTTTGAAGGTCACATCTATGAAACAGGCTAGAACTTTAATCTTAGAGATTTGGAGAATAAATAGCTCCGAGTTATCTGAGACCGAGCTTCAGGATTACCAGGAGCTACAGTTCCGAGCTTAGCCAGAAGCCTTAGCCCCTGTGACAGCTCAGATCCCCCACCTGACAGGGCTGCAACTCTTGTCCCTGTCTGTCGTGGAAAGGCAGGCTGTCTCCACCCACCCTGGCTCTTTGTTTCTGTTTTGTAGGTACGGACAGCTTTAAGCCTTCCCCTCAGCCCACTCTGGCCAGAGCCCCTTTCTTTAACTTTCCACTAGCCTCTCGGCTTCAGCCTTCCCATGGCGGGTACTCCACACAGCAGCCACCACAGGTCTCTGCCGCGACCCGTCTAATGGATTCCCCTTTCTCTCATCTCCTCTTGGCGAGGAATAGCAGTCCTCATAAGTGTGGGCAAGGAAGGATTTTTGTCATCCGCTTCCCTTCTCTCTGCGGTTCATCGCCTTTCGCATCCTCTCTTCAGTCCAGTGCTGTAGATTCCCCAAATACCACATACAGTTCTGCCTCTAAGCATTTGACTTTCTTATCCCTTCCCCTACAACACCCTCACTCTCCCGTCGTTCTTCCTTGCCCCTGAAGGTTCAGTATCTTGTTCCAGTGTTAGTCAAAGAGGTACTTTCGGCGCATGCTCTGTGTGAGGCGGCTATCTCTACCAATTGGCCCTCCTTACTCTCCGCACCTCTCTGTACTTTCCCGTGGGACTTATCTGCCGCCACATGATAGATTTTATACGTACACACTTGTTTAATTTGTCCTCCAACTAGAGCAAAGGGTCAGTGAAAGCAAGGGCGTCCTTCCTTTTACCTCTTGCTTGCCACCCCAAAACCTAAAACGCTTCTGTGTAAATTTGCTTCATCAAACCTGCAAACGAGTGAAAAATGATGCAGATATTCTTTTTGGAAGAGGTACAGGAACTCTAAATGAAGGAAAGCGAACTCTTTGGTGCTGTGGTTTCTCCGTCCTCCCGTCTGAGAACTTCGCTACGAACTGTTTGGATAATCCCTATAAACTGTATTGACTTTTCCAGAGAACTGAAAGCCCTAAGCCAAACAGGATGTGAAAAGTTTTTCAGACACATAAAATCCTTGATTTTAGACTAGTAACTGTGCCTAGACATCTGCATGCGGTGTTTGCATTTTGAACGGTGATGAACAGGATGTGAAAAGTTTTTCAGACACATTAAATCCTTGATTTTAGACTAGTAACTGTACCTAGACAGCTGCATGCGGTGTTTGCATTTTGAACGGTAAGAAAATTTAAGCATGTACACCCGTCATTCTGAAAAAGATCCTGTTATTAACTCAAAGCGTAATTATATGGGGAGCACTCTGTGTAGAGAGAACATCCATGCGAGTACAAACTAAAGCAGGATTGCTAAGTGGAGTTAATTAAAACTGTACATATTCTTTACTCATTTACCATGCTATGAAAACAATATTTATGTTAATATTTAGGGTAATACATCAAGTTAATTCTAATCATGATACAGGAAGCCAAGGTAGAAATGAGAAACTAGTTTGCTACAGAAGGTGCTAGGCGTAGAGTTCACTAATTTTGGTTGAGCCTTTGCTCTACACATTAGAAGTTTTTTTTTTGTTTGTTTGCTTGTTTTTCAAGATAAGGTTTCTCAATGTAGCTGGAACTTCATCTGTAGACCAGGCTGACCTAGAACTCACAGAGATCCGCCTGCCTCTGTCTCCTGGGTACTGGGATTAAGGGTGTGCGCCACCACTGCTCTGCAAAGAATTGGTGTGTTTTTTGTTCTTTTCTGTTTTGTTTTTCAAGACAGGGTTTCTCCGTGTAGCCCTGGCTGTGCTAGAACTCTCTCTATAGACCAGACTGGCCTTGAACTCAGCTCCATTTGCCTCTGCCCGCCAAGTGCTGGAACTAAAGGCACGAGACACTACTTCCCAGCTTCGTCAGAGTATTTGTATAATGAGACCTTTTACAAACTGTTTCCATTTCTGCTCCAGGTTGGGTTATGCAAGAATCTCTCATGCAGGACTAAGTGACTCTGAGATTCAGATGGCCAAGTTCAGGATCCCGGATGATCCTGCCAATTACAGAGACAACCAGAGAGTGGTCATAGACCACAGAGGACTTCCTAAGAGCATTCATTTCAACCCCAGGTGAGTGGGTGAGCACCTTTCTCGCTGGAGACCGCAGACACAAGCTGCCACATGCCCCTGCGGAGTCCAGATATCAACTCACATAAGCTAAAAATTGTGGTAGATTCTAGAGGCTCGTTTCAAGTGAGGGACTCATGATAAGATTATAATCTTTGCCTTCTGGGATGAAGAAATGTGTTGTAGCTCTAGCCTCAGGGAAAATGTCCTATTCTTGTCGTTATTACCACTACTCCTACTACTGTGATCATTGTCAGCATCACCACGCACTGCTACCATCCTCAACATCACCATTCTCACCGCCTCCATCATCATCACCACCACCAGTAGCATGACTGTGACGGTGAATATTTGAGTGTTCCCATATTCCAGCTCTGTTCCAGACTCTTGAAGAGTTCCCTCAATTTAACTCGTTTGGTTGTTAACTGCTGTTACCAACATTTTATTGAGGAGGAAGCTCAGGCTGAGGAGGAATGCACTGCTTTAGGCTTAAATGACTAGCCGGTGGCAGAGCTGTGGAGGAGGAAGGATGCCCGTTAGCACCGCAGGGTTACAGCGTTTCTAGCCGCCTGCACCTTCCCTTCAGTCCGAGAGCCTTTGAAAACTCCACTGTGTAGTCTTGCCCCAGATCGTCTCATTAGGACTCCCTGGGATGATGCTTGGGTTGGGGTCATAAATAGCTTTTCCTGGGTTATTCTAATGGTCGGTTCACACTGGGACTCTGCAGTGTGGGTGATTCCCTTACCTCGCAGGCATTATCCCATGAAAGAGATATTGAATTTCATTTTGCTTAGTTTTTCATAGTGGTTATCTAAGAGATCTGTTTGTACCAAGCATATGATCTGAAGGGTGGGCTCTAATCAGTGCCACTGGTGGATGGTGAGACCGTGCCTCCATGCTGATCAGCCCACCGAGAATGCCCTTGACATTGTATTGTTGTAGATTTCTACCTCACTCGCTCACAGCTGCGACAATTTCTCAGACTTTGCCAGGGACGACACTACACTTCATTTGATTTGCTTACTTCCTTGTACTTCCTGAGAGGACTGGCCCAGAGTGTAGTGATTAAGGCCCTTGCCTTAATCTTAATCTTAATCTTAATCTTCTCCTTAGAAGGAAAGCCAGCTTGGCTTTGTTACTGTGTTTCTCTCCTGCTGGGGACGTAAGGGGAAAGTGATGGTGCAGGCTGCCTCTCTGTTCTGTGGAGCGGCTGTAGAAAATACCCAGCATCATATTGTTAGCCCAGCACTGGTTTCAACTTCAAAGTATAATTCCCAGGATGGAGAGATGGCTCAGAGGTTAAGAGCAGTGGCCGCTCTTTTAGAGGTCCTATTCAATTCCCAGCAACCACATGGTGGCGCACAGCCATCTGTAATGAGATCTGGTGCCCTCTTCTGGTGTGCAGGTGTACATGCAGGCAAAAACACTACATATTAAATAAATAAAATTTTTGTTTAAATAGTGTAATTCCCACTGAATATGTGTCATTTTCAGAACGTGTGTCTTAGTTAGGGTTTCTAGTGCTGTGATGAAACACACCACCAAAAGCAAGTTAGGGAGGAAAGGGTTTATTTGGTTTATGTTTCCACATGACAGTTCATCACCAAAGGAAGTAAGGACAGGAACTCAAGCATGGCAGGAGCCTGGAGGCAGGAGCTGATGCAGAGCATGGCGGGGTGCTGCTTACTGGCTTGCTCCCCATGACTTGTTCAGCCTGCTTTCTTATAGCACCCAGGACCACCAAGTCAGGAATGGCTCCCACTGCAATGAACTGGGTTCTCCCACTTGAGTCATTAATTAAGAAAATGCCCTACATCCTTGCAGTCCTATCTAATGGAGGCATTTTCTCAAATAAGGCTCCCATCTCTTCAATGATTCTAGTTCCTATCAAGTTGACATAAAACTAGCTAGTGTGGGGGTCCATTTTTTTTTCTCCACTGAATGAGATGACTTCTTAAATGGAAAATAAAAATTTTAGCCAGAAAAGATTTTCTTGTTTCTTTATTCTTCGTATACCAGGAGTGTGGCAAGAGACCAATAAACTATTTTTGGCAAACCACAACTTCAGATTGAGCCAAGACAGTCGTGGCTGAGAGAGGTCTATTTTCTTTCTCAGTTACAAAAATAATGAAGGTGTTGGGGGAGGCTCGCCTTCATTACAAAATCGTGCTCAAAACACTTAATATATATTCTCTCAGTAGTCTTAGATATTCAGTGTGTCATTATTAACTCTGGTCACGATGCAGACACAGCTGTTCCTTCTTTTCTTTTCTTTTCCCTTTGGATTTTCAAGATTGGGTTTCTCTGTAGCTTTGGAGTCTTTCCTGGAACTAGCTCTTGTAGTCCAGGCTGGCCCCAAACTCACAGAGATCCGCTGTCTCTGCCTCCTGAGTGCTGGGATTAAAGGCATGCGCCACCATTGCCCACCCTAGTTCCTTCTTTTCAAAAGCTGAATAATATCCCAGTGTGTGTGGACACAACTCAGCCTCGTGTGTATCATTCCTGATTCCCCAGGAGTTGTTCTTAGTCTTTGAAATAGTTACTCACTAGCCTGTAGTTCACCAATTAGGCTAAACTGACTGGCCGGCCTGCCTTGCCATCTGCCTGTCCTCTTCTCTGCAAGCACATGCCACCACACCTGACTTTTTAAATGTGGGTCCTAGGACTCAAACTCAGGTCTCCATGCTAACCCAGCAAGCATTTCGCTGACTGAGGTATCTCCACAGAACCCTTTAAGTTCAACTTTGAAGTTAGCATATAAAATGATGGGTTCCATTATGGCATTTTCAAATATATATGTCATTACACTTAGTTCCTATTTATCATTTCCCCCTTTTAACTCACCCTGCCGCCTTTCAGCTCTCCTTTCCCCAGCCAGTGGGATAGCCTGTCACACGCATTTATTATCATCTCTTCCTCACCTCCTCTTCCTCCTCAACATCTCACCTCTCCTCTCATGCTCCCCTTTATAACTTTAGTCACACACACGCACACACACGCACGCACACATGCACACGCACGCACACATGCACACACGTGAAAGCACATTTCCATCTCTAGTCCACACATTAAGCATGTGGCATCGGTCTTCCTGAGTCTGGTATTTTGTTTAACGTAATGATTTCCAGTTACATTTGCTTCTCTGCAGGTGACGTCAGTTTTTCCTCTGTGACTGAATGAGATTCCTCTGTGTGTGCACCACCTTTTTTCTTTCTTTAGCCACTCCTAGGTTGAAGGCCATCGAGGTAGGCTCCATTTCCTAGCAACTGTGAATAGAGAGGAAAGAAACTTGGCTGTGCAGGGGTCTCTGTGGAGTGTCCATGTATAGCCTTTTGGGTAGATACCTAGGAATGGTATGGAGGGGTCATAGGGTTGTTCCAGCTTTAGCATTTTGGAAAGGCTGCACCCTGATTTTTTCCATAATGACTATACATGTTTGCACTCCCTCCAAGAGAACAGAAGTACCCTTCTTTCCCCACATCCTTACCAGCGTTTGTTTCCATGGTAACAGACATTCTGATTGGGATAAGATGGAATCTCTAGTTTTAATTTTCATTTCCCATGTGATTAAGGGTATTGAATACTTTTTCAAATATTTATTGACAGTCTGTGTTTATTGTCCTTCTCTTGAGGACTGTCTATTTATTTGATTAGCCCACTTATTGATTAGATGATTTTCAATGTTTAAATTCTGCAGTTCTTTGGGTACTCTGAATATTAATTACCTGACTGATGTGTAGTGGGAAAAGATTTTTTTTTTCAAATTCTGAATTTTTTTTCGAATTCTCTGTACTCTGGGGATAGTTTCAATTGGGCACAATCTCTGAGTTTCATGTACCTCCACTCTGGTTGATTTTTGACTGTGGAGCCCTTGTCACAAAGCGCCTGTATCTTCACATGTTTACCCGTGTTCTCCTCCAGCAGTTTCACAGTTTCCAACTTTCATTCAGGCCTCCGGTTGATTCTGAATCGATCCTAGGGTGAAGTGAGGCTCCAGTTCCCTTCTTGCACACATGGAAATCCACTTTTTCCGGACCCACTTGTTGAACAGACTGTCCCCCCCTCCCCCGTGTGTGTGTATGTGTTTGAAACCATGTTGTTGAGGATGATGCGGCTGTAGCTGTGTGGGTTGATTTCTGCATCTTATATTCTATTTCACTGATTTACATGTTTGTTTCTGTTCAAGTACTAAACAGTTTCTGGGGGGAAAAGAAAAAGTTAAAAATTAGAGAGTGGGAGGGGAAGACAAACAAAGAATAAATGGACACCAAAAGAGAAAGGTTCAAGATTGCCCAATAATGAGAAATGTGCAAACAAAATCAAATGAACGAATGAAAGGAACTAAAATACAAAATCATTAAAGTTTTTTGAAAAGGTTTCTTAATTTTATTTTATGTGCAAGTGTTTTCCTACATATCCGTGTGTGAACCATGTATGTGCTGTTGCCTATGGAGGTCCTATGAGCACAGGGCCCCCAGAGCTGGAGTTAAGGATGCCTGTGAACTCTTGCTCTCTGGGGGACCAGCCTCCAACAGCACAGGGCTCAGAATGAGTTCATGGCATTGGCAGATACTCGGCTTTTCTTTCTGAGGGGGTTAAGGGAAAAAACACTCACACACTCTCTTCATGGTTTGCTCCAAACCTTTTCTTTATTCTTTGTTTGTATTCTCTGTTCCTTTTCTCTTTCTTGTTTTCCTAACTCTATCTAACTCTCTCATTCCTGATGTTTTCCTTTTAGCCCATTCTCTCACTAACTCTCTGTTCTTTCCCTTACAGCTTACACACCCCAGCAAAATCTTCCAGGCAATAGAAATATTACAATGTGGTTACATTCTGTTTTTCGAGTGAATGATTACAACGACTACAAAACAAACAGTAAAGAACAGCACGTTTTTTATATCCCTTACATGATTAAACATTTTACACATTACAGGTGAAAAACAAGTCATCCCAAGAACCCATGTACATTCATACCCAAGCAGCTTCTTATAGATGGACAAGCGAGGTATTCAGCTAATGATATTTTAGGCTGCTTTGTTCTTGTTTCCTTAAAGAGTTCCCCACACAGCTGTGTGCCTTTTTTAAAACTTTAGGTTGTCTTCTTGGGTTTTTCACCTCAAAGCCATCCCTAAGTTATTTTCAAAGCTTTGTTTCAGCTGTGATGCACTCCAAAACCTGTGAATACATCTCCCAACACTAAGGTTAAAAGAATTTAAGCTAGTTGCGCTACTGGTACTCAATTGTTTTTCTTAGTCTTTAACCTAAGCCACGGTCTATACGGCTCCTCAATAGAAACTCATGTGTTGTAGCTGGGTGATACTTCCTTGTTTATATTTTTAATCTTCAAAACTCTATTTAAACTAACATTATTATTATCAGCTAGACAGTACAGCTTAGGAAGAAATCACCTTCATAATAACCCACAGGTAAAATGCCCTGCAGATTGGGATGTCTCCATGAGGTAAACATACTACATTATATGTTGTATTTCTATTTTAACTCACATTAATATTTTAATTTTTTTCTTTTTTTTATTACTCCTTTGAATCATTGGTTATTTGTGAATAGATTGTTTTAATAATTTCTCCACATTTGTGAATTCTGAAATTTTACCTCTGGATATTGTCTTCCAGTTTCATATTACTGTGTTTATAAAGGATGGTTGATATGGTTCAAGTGTTCTTAAGCTTACTAAGATTTGTGTGTGTGTGTGTCTGTGTATGTGTGTGTGTGTATGCCCGACCAAAAGCCATCTAGAGAATGTTCCATGTGTGAGTTTGAAAAGAATATTTAATCTGTTACCTTAATTGAATATATATATATATCTGTTGAGTTCATTTTGCTTTAGTACAGTGTTGAATCTGCTTTGTCCAGCATCTGTTGCTGAAAATAGCTATTGAATTCCTCTTTTATTAATGCCTTCTTTTATAGCATCCCTTTTTATGCTTAGGCACCCTGAGTAGCCATACACTCACAATTGTTACCTTCCACTGATGAAGTGAATCCCTTATCGTTACATAGTAACTTTCTTTGTCTCTTTCGACAGTTTTTGATTTAAAGTCTATTGTATCGTCTATAAGTATAGCCACTCTGGTCACTCTTAGTTGTCATTTGAATGGAGCATCTTTGCAGCCCTTCACTTGTAGCCCGCATATGCTATTAAAGCTAAACTGAGCCGTACAGGCAGCTTATAGTTGGATCTAAAAGAACAAAACAAAACAAAAAACAACCTCACTTGATTGCAAACTGCTTAATGGACAGAAAATGTGATCCATTTACATTTAGAGTAATTGATAGATAAGAACTCACAGTTGCCATTAAACAATAGTTTTTTCGGTTGCTTTGTGGTTCTTTTATTGTTTTCTTCTGGTGTCTTCCTTTTTTACTAGATTTATCTACTGAAGATTTTTCTTTGTAGTTACATGAGGCTTACACAAAACATCTTATAACTCTGCTAAGACCATATCTACCCTTTTCCCCTCCCTTCCAATACTTCTCTCTTCCCATCACTTTTCTCTCCCCTCCCCATTTCTTTTTTTTCTTTTCTATCTTTCTTTCTTATTTATTTATTGGTTTTCTGAGACAGTATTTCGCTGTAGCTTTGGAGCCTATCCAGGAACTCACTTTGTAGACTGAGCTGTCCTCGAACACACAGAGATCCGCCTGCCTCTGCCTCTCGAGTGCTGGGATTAAAGACGTGCGCCACCACCACCTGGCTCTTTCTAGTACTAGAGTTCTTTAACATTTGCAAAGGTATTTTTGCATGTGGATAGTCGTTTAAACTGATGTTTCTATGAGGGAATGAGCACTGGAAAGTCTCACTTTGTCATCTTGCTGACTTCATATTTGTATATATTTATATACCATGCAATAATGTAGATCATTAATTTTTAATAAATGTAGGAAAATATATAATAATCTATCTATACTTACACACATGCATACATGTATGCATGTGTGTTTCCTCTTTGTGAATCTGCTGTTACTCATCCAAGTCGTATGTTATGGACTTTCTTCCACAATATTCTCCCTGAAATATTTTCATGATTGCATAATTTTCATTGTATGGATTGCTGAATTTTAGTTAATCAGTTTAGTTGATTTTGCACATTGATTCTCTCATTATTGCCAAAAGTCTTCCAAAAGCTCTTTCTTATGTCCTTGGACACATTTTTTTCTTATTTTGTGAGGATTTAGTTGGAGGTGAAGAACCACAGAATCAAAGATTCTGCAAAATTTTACCATCTTCACTCTCACTTTAAGGTGGTGAAGTGAACAGACTCCTGCCGTCTGCAGCACAGAGATTAACTGGTTAGCAGGACTGCCAAGGTAGTGAAGATAGTCCATGGCCTCACTGTCGTGGTCTTTGCTCTCCGTGCCCTGAGTGTTACGTCCTTTCGACCAAGGCTGTGTAGTTAGTGATCCTTCGGGGAAGCAAAGGGAATCTGCAACACTTGTGGGCAATTTAGAAGCTCTGAGCCAAGACAGATTCTGAATAGGCATAAACGCATAAGGATAAAACCTCCGGTGCCTATCAGGCAAATGGTATTCAAGCTCAGGACAAGAGAGAAAACTCCCATGTTTCCCCAGCATTATCAACTGATGGTTCCTGAACATTTGTGCTTTGGAAATGTTCTGTTATCGGGGAGAGTGGGTTGGAGTTAAGATGTCAACCCGCCTTTCCCACAAATCCTTTGTAATTTCTCTTTCATCTGATTCATTCCTTGCTGTTTTATGGATTGATCTTATCAATACTCATGCTGTGATAAGTAGATCAAAGTACTGTACTTATGGTTGAAATTCTCCGTAAGAACACCCTGCTTTCTGCACACTTTTCCCATGTTGGTTATTTCTCTTTTAGATTTGGCTCCTACAAAGAAGGACACAATCATGAAAACAACCATCGTTTTCACATGAACACTCCCAAATACTTCGTCTGAACCCTTTTAGACAAGGAGTCGTCGTTGGCTGGGGCAAGTTTGTAACAGCTCAAAAAGAGTTGAATGAGAATGGCAGGATACACGTGATGAACCTCAGGAGTTAGAAAGGGTGACATCATGCAGCGGGAATCCCATCAATTTATAAGCCATGCTGCTTAATAAACGCATCTCTCTGAGTTACTTTTATTAAAAAGAGCTGTGTGATAATATAAGAAAATTAAGCTCAGGGCTGGAACTGGAGCTCAGTGGTAGAGTGCTTGCTTGCCTGGTGTGCATGGGTCTCCAGGTTCAATTCCCAGCATGGCCAGAGATAAAGGCAGCAGGGTGAGGGAAAAAAGAAATCACTGATTTGTGATTGTTTTAATGACACTTGGCCGAGGGAAGATGGATCAGTGGGTAAAGTGCTTGGTGTGTAAGCGTGAGGACCTGATTGGATCCCAGGGCAGTGTAAAATACGAGGTGTGGTACCATGACTCCATATTCCCAGTGCTGGGGAGTGACAGAGAAACAGGTCCTGGGGAGGAGCACTCCCCCATAATTTCAGTGCTGGGGAGTGACAGAGAGACAGGTCCTGGGGGGAGCATTCCCCCATAATCCCAGTGCTGGGGAGTGACAGAGAGAGACAGGTCCTGGGGGGAGCACTCCTCCATAATCCCAGTGCTGGGGAGTGACAGAGAAACAGGTCCTGGGGGGGGGGGAGCACTCCTCCATAATCCCAGTGCTGGGGAGTGAGAAAGAAACTGGTCCTGGGGGGGGAGCACTCCTCCATATTCCCAGTACTGGGAAATGAAAGACAGACAGGTCCTGGGGGAGCACTCCCCCATAATCCCAGAGCTGGGAAGTGACAGACAGACAGGTCCTGGAGGGAGCATTCCCCCATAATCCCAGAGCTGGGAAGTGACAGACAGACAGGTCCTGGAGGGAGCACTCCCCCATAATCCCAGAGCTGGGAAGTGACAGACAGACAGGTCCTGGAGGGAGCACTCCCCCATAATCCCAGAGCTGGGAAGTGACAGACAGACAGGTCCTGGAGGGAGCACTCCCCCATAATCCCAGAGCTGGGAAGTGACAGAGTGAGACAGGACTGGTCACTAACCAGCCAATCTAACCAGTCAGAGAGAACTAGCCTCAGTGACAGACCTTGTCTCAAGAAAGCAGAGGGACTGAGAGATGGCTCAGTGGTTGAGAGCAGTGGCTACTCTTTCAAAGGATCCAAGTTCTCAGCACCTACATGGTAACTCACATTCTTCTGTAATTCTCATTCAAGGGGATCTGACACTCTCACACAGACATACATGCAGGCAAAACACCAATCTACATAAAATAAAAAAAATTCTAAAAATCCAAAGTGTTAGAATAAATAAAGTGGAGAGTGATAGAGGAAGACACTTTTTTTTTTTTTTTTTTTTGAGACAGGGTTTCTCTGTAGCTTTGGTGCCCATCCCGGAACTAGCTCTTGTAGACCAGGCTGGCCTCGAACTCCCAGAGATCTGCCTGCCTCTGCCTCCCGAGTGCTGGGATTAAAGGCGTGCGCCACCACCGCCCGGCTAGAGGAAGACACTTAAGGTCAGCTTCTGGTGTCAACACACACACACATCTACAAAATACACACACATACATACACACATGCACATACCTACATATATACACACACACATACACACATATACACACATAGATACACATGCACACACACATGCATACACATGTCCTACTGGTATAGATAAAATAATTTTATTTCTACCAATAATCTTAGGGGAAACACAATATGTATCAAGTTATTTCTCCAGTGTTTTCAGATACACTCTACAGCATACAAGGAGTGAGCATAAACCACTGTCAACAGAAACAACAGACAGGAGAAACAGGGATTTATCAGTCCAGACTAAAACAACTACAATTCCCAGGAACAAGACATGCTTGGAGGTTTTGGCAAGAGACTAAAAGTGTAAAGACTGACCTACCAGATTAGAGAAGAGAGAAAAATAAATCCCAGAACTCAAAAAAAAAAAAAGGATGCAAATTGAAATGATTTAACATCAGAATAAACATAGTTGAAGGAAATCTGTGAGCTGGAGGATAGGTCAGAAAACAAAAACAAAACAAAACAAAACCCCACTGATCCAGAGGTGGAGAGCCAAACTCAGTACAAATTCAAATGCACTGTTTAATATCAACAAAGACAATACCCTTCTTGTCTCTACCAGGACACATATTAACTGCTCCACTGATGCTCTTATGTAACAGGTGTGCTCTGTTCTAGTCAAGCCCACAGCTCTAGCCACACAGAGTGTGTAACACTAGTGTTAAACAATCTTCCTCAACTCATGCCCAGTATTCCAGTGCCTCTACCCAGCATTGTTCACTGCTGCTGGCTGCTGCTGGATTCCAGGGTAAGATTCCTGGGGGTGGGGGAGAGGTATGGCTGGCCTGTTTCTCTGCTTGCGGACCCTTTGTAGCACTGGTATTGCACTGCTGTGGAGATGGAGGCACCGGTTTTGTGGTGAATTGTGTAGCTACTAACATCATGGGAACTGCCAATGGCTGCTGTGGAGCCAATGGGACAGTGAGTGAGATCACTGACTACTGTAATCTTTGAGCTCAGCACAATGCCATATGGTCTCAGCGGTCATTTTATGATTTAGGAGGAAACCTATAGTGGTTTCTTGCTAATGATAGCACCAGAGCCAATGTTCTACAGTTGAATCCAGGACCAGGAGTTGTCCTGGGGCCTAGTTCCTTCCCTTTGTAGACAAGACAGTATGCAGATCATTCCTGTTTGCTCTGCTCATTAACAGAGTGAAACGCTACATAAATTTTTTCCAGTATTTTTTTCATAACCGAAACTTCCTAATAATATCTCTGTAAACAGTTTTTAATATTTTTGGCACTTATCCACCTTCTTCTTGTAAAGTGCAGCCGGATGACAAGATGTTGCCATTGGTTTCAGATTTTTTTTCTGTTGAAGATGAGAATAACATTTATTTTCTATTCCCACTTACTTTTGATGTGCCACTTTTAAACTTCTATTTGCCCCATTCTTCTATTGAACTATGACTCTGGTATATCTTTACGAAGTGTGTTCTCATAACTTATTACGGGAGTGCAATGTATGACAAGCTAGCCAGAGTGAAAAACACGTCGATTGCCTTGGAACGCAATCATTTTTATGGGCCAGTCGTTTGGAAATGATCATAGCCACAGTGCTGTGCTATCGGAACCCAGACTTGCACCTCAGGCCCTTTCTTTAGCTACTTCCTGCTCCTCTCACACTTGGCCATCTCTAGTGACCATGGCTCTGCTGCATCCCTCTGCATGAGTGACCTTACAGTTTTTATCTAGTGAGTTCTTTGACAATTCCTACATACACATAATGCTTTCTGGTTATTCTCCTGCCCTCACTCTCTCTACTTCCCATGCCTACCCTGACCTCCACACTGTCCCTTTCTAAGATCCACAACCATTGGTTTTGTTTTTATGACACATTTAGCTTAACCAGCGCCATCTCTATGACCTTGGGAGATGATGTGAAATCATATCAGTGATTTTTAAATTTCAGTTGGAATTATTTTTAGCCTTCTAGACTTTGTCATCCCCCTCCAATTTTTTTCATTTATCTTTAAATGCTAGATGCCTTTTAGATGATCACATAGAATCTGAGGACAAAGAAAGAGACAATTAAAAAATGGAAGGTACTTTTCAGTATATTGATGTATTGGGATATTGAATTTACCTTATTTGAATCATTTGGGACAGTACAGTAGCCTTCCTTGTCCATAGGTTGTTTTGTTTTTTCCTTTCTGTGCCTTGAGTTATTAAGTTTTACTGTGTCTGGAAATATTCAGTGGAAAACCCCAGAACTAAACATAGGTTTAAAATTCGACAGTGTTCTGAGTAGTTTGGTGAAGCCCTGCGAACACATCTCTGTCCAGCAATATCTCTGCTGTGTGTGCTGCCCACCTGGTAGTTGGTAGCTGTCTTGATTATCAGATCAACTGTTATAGAAACACGGTCTGTTTGAATAATCTCAACCTGAAAAAAAGTAATGAAATATAATAATAAATATACAAATAAATAAAATAATAAAAATAAAAAAATGCATTTATTGGGGCTGGAGAGATGGCTCAGTGGTTAAGAGCACTGACTGCTCTTCCAAAGGACTTGGGTTCAATTCCCAGCACCCACATGGCAGCTCACAACTGTCTGAAGATCCAGTTGCAGGGGATCTGACACCTTCACACCAATGCACATAAAATAAACTATAAAAAATTAAAAAAAAGCATTTATTTGTGTTGTGATGGAGGAAGGTCATTGGCTAATAAAGGAACTGCCTTGACCCATTTTATTGGTTAGAAGATAGGTGGGAGGAGAAAACAGAACAGGAAGAGGAAGTGAGCTCAGAGACTCGACAGCTCTCCTCTCGGGAGCAGATGCCTGAGAGAGACGCCATGCCCCGCTCCCGGGATGAAGCTCCGACCCAGGATGGACATAGGCTAGAATCTTCCCGGTAAGCGCACCTTGGGGTGCTACACACAGATGATTAGAAATGGGCTAAATTAATATGTGAGAATTAGCCTAGAAGAGGCTAGATAGAAATGGGCCAAGCAGTAATTAAATGAATACAGTTTGTGTGTTGTTATTTCGGGCATAAGCTAGCCGAGCAGGCGGCCGGGGTGCTGGGAATGCAGCCCCGCCGCCCTTATTACTACAGTGTTGGGGGTACACACACATGCCATGACTCACATGTGGTGGTCAAGGGCAATTTGTGGGAGTTAGTTCTCATCTTCTACCGTGTAGATCAAGGTCAGGTCATCAGATTTGATGACAAGTGCATCTACCCACTGTTGTCACTTACCCACTGAACCGTCTCACTGACCTAAGTAATCTCTATTCTGTTCTCCTAATGTTACCAAGGTACAAGAGTGATGTTTCTGGCAATTTGGAGATGCTAAAGAGAAGCCATGAGGTGTTTCCCTTAAGGGAAAGGGGGAAAGAAAGTGCCATAAGATATTTTCAAAGAGACTGTATATGCTTAATTTGTTAGTCTGTACTGTGTACAATAATTACTCAGTTTTAGTTTTGATTATTTTTACAAAATTACTATGCCTGACTTAGAAATTAATCTTTATAATAGGTATGTAGGTATAGAATAAGACCTATGTATAGAATATAGATAAGATTGATAGATGATAGTTGGATAGATGATAGATAACAGAGATAGACATGCAGAATTTGGTACAATTTGGGGTTCCAGCATTTGTTGAAGGCC